TTTGGTGTTTGGTGTTTGGTGTTTGGTGTTTGGTGTTTGGTGTTTGTTGTTTGTTGTTTGTTGTTTGTTGTTTGTTGTTTGTTGTTTGTTGTTTGTTGTTTGTTGTTTGTTGTTTGGGTTTTGTTGTTTGTTGTTTGTTGTTTGTTGTTTGTTGTTTGTTGTGGTTGTTTGTTGTTTGTTGGTTGTTGGTTGTTGGTTGTTGGTTGTTGGTTGTTGGTTGTTGGTTGTTGGTTGTTGTTTGTTGTTTGTTGTTTGTTTGTTTGTTGTTTGTTTGTTTGTTTGCTTGCTTGGTTGGTTGGTTGGTTGGTTGGTGGGTTGGTGTTGTTGGTGTTGTTGTTGTTGTTGGTGGTGGTGGTGGTGGTGGTGTTGGTGGTGTTGGTGTTGGTGTTGGTGTTGGTGTTGTTGTTGTTGTTGTTGTTGTGGTTGTCGTCGTCGTCGTCGTCGTCGTCCTCCGTGCTGGGTGGTAATCGTCGGCAATGGTGGCAGTTGGACCAAGGCCTGTATGATGATGCGTGCAAGATGCTACTTTGTGTTGAGGACAGGTGTGTGAGATGGCGACAAATTGTCAAAGGGCTGAGACAGAACAATTCATGCTGTGGTGTCAGGATGCTGGCAGAGAGGGTGCCATGAAGGCCTTGGCAAGAAATTGTGACAGGAAACGTGGTTCTTGTGTTTTTCCAAAGCCATTTCTTGCATCAGAGCCTGGAGAAACAATGCGTTTGTTTGTTTGCGGAGGTTTTGGATCTGCGGATGGAGGTGTTGGAGATGAGATTGAAAACGGCCAAGATTTGGTCGCTGCTAGGGGAAACTTGGGTTTCTCGATTATCGTCGAATTTGCCTGGCTTCAACCAAAACAAGAACAACTGTGGGCACAAGCTCCCTGGGATATCAGGAGCGGATTTGGCGGATTGGCCATTTTATTTGTCACGTTAACAACATGGGAAACCATGCTTCGTTGTTCGCAAGGTCAAACTTGAGATCAACAGAAACCAATGTCAGGGACTATTGTAATTGTGACTACATTTTTTTGTAACTAAATCTTTGCCGATGCCCAGGAGTGGTCTGCGGCAGAGGCATCAGCCTCCAAAAGCATTGAGGCGGGAACCCAGTGAACCCAGTCTTGTCCCGGCACGGAAATGGATCCTAGATTTTCTGTCTTCAAAATGTCCTTCAAAATATTGCCATCATACAAGACTACAAAATGTACTGAGAGGAGTTGATTTGACTTTGCTAATACCTGCGTTGTTGACAACATTTGACACGTGTGCTTGGGCGCTTCAGTCAACAAAACTTTGATGTTTTCCAGGCTGCGATGCTGAGGGACCATGAAGCACTGGTAGAGCAGATTCCAGCCCTGGGAGAGGCTGGGATCTGGTGGGCAGCGGTGGAAATCGCCTTATTTGCAGGTTAGTTGCATGGCAAGAAACACTACAGAGATATCCCCTATGAGGATCAACGATCAAGACCATCTTGCATCTTGGGTTTGGTGATGTATACTTAGCTTTGTTGCTTGGGTATGCAAATGCTGCCTTTCCAAGTTGTGGTGAGTCTCCACAACAGCGGCACTGGAGAACCGAGTCTACAGGACGTTTGCCCACCACAAAAAAAACAATGAACCTCCAAATAATCTATATAATTTTTGATAATAGCGCCGTTTGTACATGCAAAGGTGTTGGAATTGAAGTCTTCCATTTGCTGATGTATACTGCCTGCGAACTCTGGCCATGTTACAGACTTACTCAGCCAATGCCTATACAGTACACTTTTAGCTTTTGTCAGTGGGCGTGCCCAGAGGTACCCCAAAATGAGCGCTTGAGACGTGCGCTCGCGCACGCAGCCGGGCCCAATGAGAACAGTTTAATTCTTTTCTGGGAGGAAACCCACCGAGGAAGAAGAACACCCATTGGTTTCAATTCAGTTTGTGTTCTGGAAATTTGAACCAAAACTTGCAGAAGGAAGCAGCATCGTTTTGGCATGCTTTGATCACAGGCAGCCAGAAGTGGATCAAGCGTCTTGGCATGTGGAGCAAGGGATGTTGCGATTAGACAGGTTTGGTTTATATATCGTAAAACTCATCGTAAAAAGTATCGCCAGAAACGGAGATGTCTACTTAAAAAGACAAAACTTAGTTGGTTTGGTTGCCAATATGTTTCCACATGTTTCCTTCACCCAAAGATCCGTCTTTTTGGTTGTGTTTTTGGTTATCGCCACATCGAGGCCGGGGCTTTCTGGCACATCGCAGCGTCCTGGATGGTCTTCTGTGCCGCGCTCGCGCGCGCCTGAAAATGGGCGATGCCACTGGTGCTCGGGCAGATGCCACCACGGCCTGCGGCATGGCAGGCCTGATGATCAGATTTTGTTGAAGGGTTTCATTGTGACCATTCTATCAATTAATTATGTTAACTTGCTATTTGTATCAACTGGTGTGTGGTGGCTGAGTTTTTCTTGAGTTATCTATCCTTGCCTTCTGCTTTGGACCCATGATTCGCCAGGGTCGTATGAAGCAAAGTTGACTGACGCCACCACCATCTATAGTTTATTCAGCGTTTGAGGTTTAATCTCCCCCGGTTAACCGGGGTTCCCAGCAGCTGTCCTTCCCACTATCCAACTTTAAGTTCAAACAGGTCAACTTCAAGAGCTGCAGAAGCAGGAGTCCGCACAAAGCTTCCTGTTGCAGGCAGACTGGTGCTGGTCACTGGCGTGCTCTTCGGTTTGATGCAAGATCCGTATGACATGCTCCAAGTCTCCCGTTGTGCATCAAAGACATCAATGGGTTTTCACCTACATGTCACATGCATACATAACATATGCAGCGATAACAATCAAGAAATGTCGTTGAGTCAATAGCACCACTTGAGGCTGTGACCTGTTTCCTTCGCACGGTAATTCGCAGGCCGAGATGGCCTTGGCCAGTCAGAATGCGCGGGATTTCAAGAGCAAAATGCCAGGCCAGGGATGTAGTTGTTGTAGCAGGTTTCTGACACGTTTGTCCTTTCATGTCCTTTCAAACCACCCCATCCTGGTGGTAGTTGACACTGTTCGAGATCAGCTGTATGTTTTTTCATTTAAGTGAAGGAGAACGTGGATATCCGCAGAAGAGCAAGGAGGTGCTCCTTGTTCATGATGACATTGAACCTTGTTCAACATGCTGTATGACTGCTGTCTACGTTGTTTGTCTCGAGAAGTGGAACTATGTGGCATATCGTCTAGCAGCTTTTGCATATTTTTGCATGCTGCTGGAGGTTTTTAAGGAGCTTGACATAGTCTCAATGGCTGAATCTGGTTGGGCCTGTTGGGATCTAGAGATGTTCTCCAGACATTCATGCAGTGTCACGCAGGGTCATGCAGTGTCCATCGTTCCTAAGGACAGTTCTACTGTCGAGGTCAACGCGGTCAACGCATGGGATGTGCAGATTCTGCAGTCCTCACTTCCGCTTTCCAAGATGAGTCTCGCCTGGAACCTGCAGTCATCTGCAGTCAATGGTTCAGTGATGATTTGTTTGTCGTAGCAGTCCATTCCGATGTGAACACAGCGGTGAACACTGCGTTGGATAGCAGAGAAAGACAACTAAAAGACAACTTGCGAAACTCTGAGTTCATGCTTCGAGGGAATGATTCAAGATGATTCAAGCATATCGAAGCTGCTATATAATCTACATTAAATCATCTTATCTCTGATATCTGATTCTATTTGCTGATGCTTTGCTGTTCTTTCGCTGTTTTTGTGGTTGCCGTTCCAGAGATTCCGTGTTTGATTCGGATCCAGGCCCCGACCGGAGGAGCTCTGGTCCTTGAACGATTTGGACTGAGTGCTCAGTCGAACATCGACTCCGAGCGGAGAAAGATTGCCGCAGACGATTCGGATTCGGAGAAAGCGCAAGCATTTGGCGGCTTCATGAATGTTCCATGACGTTCCCTTAAGGGTTTGTAGATTAGTAGATGTTTGTAGTATGGTTTGTGGATTGCAACAGGTCGGTGTAGCATGTTGTTGCATGTCGTAGGATGCTGTCGAAGCCCCTCCTGTTGATACCTGAACCCTTTGAGGATCATTGCAGCAGTAATTCAGAATGATTCTGATTCTGGACTTCGGATTTCGTTTTCAATTTGCAATCACATCCATGGCTGGATGTTGCGGCAGAACCACACCTCAACCCTGGTATTTTTCCTATAGCTCCTGCTGATCCTGACACTTTATTGATACTTCATAGTGCCCAGCGCCTCACTCCACTCACTCATGCATCCCTGACTTTCTCCACTTGATGAACGCAATCAAAATCATTGAAACATGTGTGTGTGTGTGTCAAACAGAAGGGGTTTGCTGACGAGAACGCCACTTATGAATATATCTCCTGATTCGTCGAGCTAGTGTTGGTCTTCCCCACGCCAAGGTCGTTCCACATCTCAGTCGCCGTGCGCACATGGTATGGAGGCCCGATTTGAAGCCCTGGAAGACTTGGGTGACGCGGTGACACCTCTGGAAGTACTCCTAGTTGTGGAAGTCAAAGCGTTTCAATGAAATGTGCGTCCTAGGTGGGGGAGAAATTTCTGGAAGTCGGTGCGATGTTGCGTCCAGTTGGTGTTTAGCATGTTTGTGTTTCTCCAATTGATGGTTTATCGTGAGTTTTTCATGGATACCATGCAGATGGTTGTAGCTATTCCCTTGTGTTTTGGGAGTTTTGTACATCACTTGTGGCTCGCTCTGTTGTGCAAGATTCATACAAACACCGACGATTACTGGGTCGATGTTATAACAAGTGCCTATGGGGAAAGGCCCGCATGTGCAGCGCCTATCACTTTAACTTACTGATGTATTTTTTGGCACCGCTGAAAGCTCTTGAGTCTAACTGTTCTGAAAAGAATGCGAAAGCGTGTGGCTACCAAAGAGTTCGTCAGGAGACTTAGGGGGTCAGTCTCCCAAAATCTGATTTCGGACCTCGTTTGGACCTCGTTTGCACCTCGTTCGGACCTCGTGTAAATTGCAGCCAGTCAAAATCCAGCCCGGAGAGGTTTTGGAAAGGCTTTGCAATGGTCTGCTGCTGCTGCTGTTGTTGTTGCTTGTGTTGCTGCTTCTGGGCAAGGCGCGGTTTTTGGGCAGAGAAGCAAGAGATTTTGTCTGGCGTAAGCGGTGTGCCATGCGGTGTACCACAGGGCAGAGAACGTGGATGAGATTTGCAACTGTACATTCACTTAGCAACATTCGAATCCCGAAGTCTTCCATTCCTTATCAAACTCCTTCAGGAAAGCCACCAGAAACATTCCTTCAGATTATTACTCAGACATATTTGAGATTCATGTGTGGAGACGCGTCCTGATGGGGATTTGGAAAATTTGGCATATATTTTTAAGATTATGGGACATAACTGTGCACACGCGTCCTGATGGGGATTTGGAAAATTTGGCAATAGAAAAGTGCACTGCCAGGGATCTAAAAATAACACTTCTACATAGTGCGTCCCATGGTGTTTTAGACCTAATTGCATTGACTTGTTTGACTTCCTGAATGCGCGGCGTCCCATGCAGTTTTTACCTTGGTTCCACATATGCACTGACTTTCACGTCCCAGTGTACCGAATTGCAAACTTTCAACAATCCATTCAGCAAAAATTTGAACAGGATAGAAGAAGTATTCTGGAGGTGCTTTTGTCGCGGTCAAAGTCCCACCAGGTTGTTTGGCAATGCGCTTTGTTGGTGAGGCTCCTTGATGTTGGTGCATCACATCTTGGGTGGTCCCAGCAACGTAACCATCCTGTTGGCAGATGATAACGAGGTGCAACCCTGCTGTGCTGGGGGGATGATCAGCAGTACTATTCCCACACTCTGAAAGTAGACTGTCCCAGGTCGAAGAATTTGCCCGGCTACCTCGAGCCATGCGTTATGGAGGCGACCATTTTGAGACATCAATTCACAACCCTTCTGCACATTTTTGGGGAGTGGGTTCCAATTCCATACAATTCCACTGATGAAATATGGCTGGAGTGGGGAGCATGAAAGTAGGCATCCCCAGTCAAGGCCAGCACACTTGGCTGTGGCTCAACCAGCTTGTCAGGCAACCACGGTGGCCTTGGTGTGTCAAAGAACTTGGGGAACCTGCGCCAGCACTGCCTTCCTGTTTATGGACTTTACTCCAGCGTGCAGCATGCAGGGAAATCATTTCCTTCTATTTCTGGTGACGATGCCAGATGGTCCAAAATCTAACATTCCGGAATGCCACAACGCACTAGAACGATGAATTACATTGCTTTTTTGCACCTTGCACCCGCTGTGTGAAAAAAAGCAGGCCTGGGCGCTCCTTTGTTGAAACTTGAGTTTTTGTTAGCATGTCATCGGTATGGTGGGTAGGGACAGGCTGAGGACTCTGAAGTGGATGTTCTGAAACAATCGTTGTTTTTTAATCTGATTGATCATATATAAAGATAATTTTGTTTATATTTGTACTCGATCAATCTCGATCATGTTTCCCCGGTCGGGTTCATTGTAATCACTCGTGACACCAAGGAGCGCCGATCGGACGCCATTTTGGCCTCAACCACCAGGCTAGTTTGAAAAGAGAGGAGTCGTGTTCCCCTTAGGACTCTGAACGCGCACGGGGTAGTGATCTTACTGTTCAGTTGTGAGTGGTTTCCTCCTGCCAGCTCTTTCCCAACACCATTTGCTCGTCAACAAGCCATGGCCTCGAATCTCGAATCGTTTGGCTGAGAGCGTGAGTTCTGATGATTCGGCAAGCGCCGTGGGATCGAATATGTCATGGCGAGTGGTCAGAAGAGAGAGTGTGGTGGCGGATCCAGCAACCCCCCAAAGCACCCTCCAGGATTTGCTCTACAGGGGCCGGCATACAACTTGCCAGCTCCCTCAAGCTCCAGAAGCTCAGCCTATTTTCACCGCAACACAAGCCGCTCGGGATCTTCTGGGTTCTGCTCAAGCCCAGTCACAGTGTCTGGCAAGCCAGAGAGCTCTTCCCAAAAGAAGAAAGGGGAGAGGGCAATCAGATCGGGTCAGACAGCTCCTTCCTTGTGTTCAACAAGTTGGAGCCCAATCCAATGAGCGCTCGGTCCTGGCCATCGATAGCCGAGACAAGCTGATCCAGTCTCCACTCCAAGGATGGTTGGTGGCCAGTCCCTTGGTCGATGGACAGCTTGTCAGGTCGCCGAATGCAGGCTACCACATGAACTTGTTCTACATGAGAACGCTCAATGGCTTCAAGTTTATCCTGGTGGGCTCTATGACATCGTATGGCACAGTGCCATGTGCGAAGTGGGATGCTCTGATTGGGAAAGTGCTTGCCCACAAGGCTTTTCAGCCGTTCAGGTGGCCTTTGATGACTGATGATTCACCGATGCTCCAGTTCCAAGTCAGTGTCCAAGCCCCCACCCAAAGCCCGCAAGAACAAGGCTCGGCGTGAACGTCAGAAACTTCAGCTGCAGAAGGCCGAGCAGCTCGTGCAATCACCAAAGAAGCCTGACGCTCCCAAGAAGGTGGCTCGCGATGAACATGTTCCCGCCAAGGAGTGGCAGCAGATCACATCGTTCAAGTACAGTGGCCCACGCCGCCGCCCCTTTTTCAACTGCTCGTTGGACTGCCGCTTCGGAGATCAGTGCAAGATGAAGCATAGCTGTGTTGAGTGTGGCACCACGCTTGGCACGGCAACCACTGATCAGCTCCCGTGGCGCCAGGGGAGGTGTTGGCTGGCCCCCTTGGCGTTTGGAAATCTGCGGTCGCAGAACACAATGAAGATCCGCCGGGTGACCGGTCTGATCTGAGGCCCCTGACGACTAAGTGTGGGATGCAATCATGCGCGTGATCACAATGGGTTTAATCTTTCTCCTGCATTGTGGAACGCCGTGCAACACTTTCACAGCTGCTCGCAAAGATGATGGCGGCATGTTCGCCTCAAGGGCAAAGTTTGGGATCTCGTAGCCAGAAAGATGGTGTTCAAGAAGGGCCGCAACTTTATTTTTCACCTTTGGCTCATCTTCAACCTTCCTTTGATTTGGTGACTCCTGCAGCTGATCGCAAGCGGGTTTTGGGCTCCTCGAAGCCTTGGATCCCCCATCGTCAACAAGAGTCTGCTAGAAAGCAATGGCAGGCTATCAGCTGGAGCGTGGAGCAGCCAAACCATTGTTGGAAGTAGAAATGGAGCCTGGTCAGGCGATCAAGTTTGCTCTTGATGCAGTTCATCCTTCACAGTGCCGGACCAGCTCCCCTCAGGTCTTGAGGCTGCCTTGGCCAGGCTGGGCCGCCCTGCTCACGTGATCAACTTGGAGCGGGAGCGTTTGCTCGAATTTTGGCATGCTCGTGCACAAGTGCTTCTTCATGTATATCCGCCGAGCTCATCGAAGAGCAACCTGACGAACTGGAGTCAGGCCGGCCTCAGCTTGGCCAAGTTTGTCATGTTGCCCTCTACGCTGAGATGCTGCAGGTTGCCGTTCTGTTGATCAATCACTGCCAAGGCTTTCCTATTGTGGGCGACATCGAGGCAACGGGTCGATGGCCTCCTTATCAGAAGGCTCAAAAGATTCTGTCCGTGTCGTGCTCTCGAGCGGGCCTGGGTGATCCGGGAGAAGATCATCAGAAGGTTCAGAGGAGTTCCAGCATCGGACAGCCTCCGCAAGCTGGGATGCGACGATCGAAGATGTGGGGCTCCTGCTTAGGCCCATTTTGCTCGCAGGGTCAAGTATCTTTGGCAGCATAGGGGCCGAAGATTGTATTCCAACCCAAAGATTTGAGGCCGCCCAGAAGAACAAAGTTCGTGGCTGCGACAGTGCCACTTTACCAACTTGATCAACCAGATCACTAAGATCACCGAGAAGCTGCAACTGCCCTAAACAGACTCCAATGTGGCTGCGCTGCGGAAGTTGCGCTCGCTTCATCCCGGGCACAAGAATTGGCAGGGTGGGTTCTGGATGAACGGAAAGCCTATCGGCAAGTGGCGTGAGACCTGGTCACAGGAAATTCTCTGTTATCTGCATGAAGGATCCTTGCTCAAGTTAACTTGGGCATTCGTTTGAACTGGTCTCGGCGTTGTGCAATTACAATCGCCCGATCGGCTGCCATCAATGAGTTCCTTGTGGAGATCTTCGGGCTAGTGGCATTTAGTTTCTATGATCACAAGCACGGCTTCGAGACAGGGGTCACTGTTGCGGCAGCTCGCCGCGTTGCCGAATCTGTCATTTCTGGCTATAGGTGCCAAGTTTGATCAGAAGAAGCTTCAGTTGTCGCGCTCGCCGACCATTTTGTGCGTGACCTACAACTTGGATGCAGCTTGAGATCAAAGCAGCGCGTCGTGAAGAGCTTGTTCAAGAAATCGACATGATCTTGGAGTCTGGGCTCCTGGACCCAGGCTCTGCTGGAAAACTGTGGGGAAAAGTTGGTTGCGCTTTCCGTCGAGTGATCTCTCACAGGCAGTCTATGCGTTTCCCAGTAGGTTCTGATTTCTTGGCGGATCCACCGCTCCGAGAATCGCTTGTTCAGTGGAAGAGGCTTGTGTCAGAAGGACCGCCTCGTCCTATCGATCGGGTGGGATCCAAGAAAGTTGATGCTGTCATTTTTACTGATGGTTTTACCCCTGACTCTAGATCGGACGGTCGTTTGCCTGACAGAGTGGGTGCTGTTAATTTTGACAGGAGGATGAGACGCCCGCGTCAGTTCACGGCTCGACGGCTCTTATTCCCCCTTTGTAAAGAAGAAATGGCCCGAGAGGACGGCACAGATCGTTCCTGTAGCTCCCGTTTTAGCTCTGGAAACTTTTGCCAATCGGCTACAGGGTTGTGATCTTCTGTTGCTCATTGATTCTGAGTCTGTTGAGAGAGCCTTGATCAAAGGCTACTCAAGCAGAGAAGATCTTTGTAGCAGTATTTCAGTATTTTGGGATCTTGCGTTTCGTTTGCGGCCCCGAATTTTCATCAACAGGATTTCGACAGACGGCAATCCAGCTGATTGGCCGTCACGTGATAAATTGCATAGAGGAGAGAGCGTAGGATGGGTGACGATCGATCCAAGTTGGCTGGAAGCTCTTTTCCCCTAGAGGTTTGGGCCTGGGCTTGGCGCTGCATGTTCATTTATTTATTCCCGAACCTTTGTGTTCTTGACCTGGTCTGGGAAGGGCTGTGTGTTCAAGACAGTTGGATTGATCCATTTTGATCGAGTTCCATCTGTTACAGGGATTTGAACTGGATCAGGCTGCTCATCCCATGCCTAAAGCAGTTGCGCTCGTGTCAAAACATTGCGGGGATAATCATTCCACGTCCATGCGCGCAGTGAGTCGTTAGCATGTCATCGGTATGGTGGGTAGGGACAGGCTGAGGACTCTGAAGTGGATGTTCTGAAACAATCGTTGTTTTTTTGATTTGATTGATCATACATAATCATAAAGATAATTTTATTTATCGAAGGAAGTTTAGAAGTTAAGCTTCCGACAAAATGGACAGATGAAAAAGCAGAGGTGCGAAGAGCCAGACGGGAGCAGAGTCAGAGGGGAGAAAAGTCAGAAGAGAAAAGATCAGAAGAAAGAAGATGCAGGTGTGCGAAAAGGTAGGAAAGTCGCGAAACACTGTGTTTTGGCTCCGGAGGGTCGAGAAGTAGGCTCGCTAAAGCGGCGGGTGCGGAGACATCTGCGGAGATGAGAAATAAAAAGTTGCACGCCGTTGTGACGCGAAGCAGATTTTGAAGTGAAAAGGTACAAAACACCTCGGTCTCGGAGCACTTTTGGAAGTTGAGATGTCGAAAAAGTGCACGCCGTTGCGGCGCGAAGCGCATTTCGAAGTCAAAATGTACAAAACGCACCATTCTCGGACCACTTTTGGAAGTCGCGATGTCGAAAAAGTGCATGCCTTGTGGCGCGAAGCGCATTTCGAAGCCAAAATGTTAAAAGCACCTCAGTGTCGGACCGCTTTTGGAAGTTGCGATGTCGAAAAAGTGCACACCGTTGTGGCGCGAAGCACATTTCGAAGTCAAAATGTTAAAAACACCAGGGGTTCGGACCTCTTTTGGAGGTTCAGATGTCCAAAAAGTGCACGCGAAGCGCATTTCGAAGTCAACATGTTAAAAACACCAGGGGTTCGGACCACTTTTGGAGGTTCAGATGTCGCTTCGCGTGGCAGGCACAAGGGATTGTGCACCTTGTCAAAAGTGAGCAAAATGTGAAGGTTTTGTAGCATTTTCAACTACAACCACCACTACACCACACTACACTCCACTACACTAAATTACACTACGCTACACTACCTTCCACTACACTTCACTACATTACACTACACTACACTCCACTACACTACACTGCACTCAATTACACTCAATACACTACACCACATTACACTACACTACACTCCACTAAACTACACTACACTACATTACACTACACTACACTACCTTCCACTACACTTCACTACATTACACTACACTACACCCCACAACACTACAACTACAACTACAACTACAACTACGACTACACTCCACTACACTCCACTACACTCCACGACACTCCACTACACTCCACTACACTCCACTACACTAAATTACACTACACTAAATTACACTACACTAAATTACACTACACTACACTCCACTACATTACACTACACTCCACTACACTACACTACATTACACTACACTACCTTCCACTACACTTCACTACGTTACACTACACTACACTCCACTACGCTACAACTACAACTACAACTACACAACTACACTCCACTACACTCCACTACACTACACCACATTACACTACACTACACTACTCTACACTACACTACCTTCCACTACACTTCACTACATTACACTACACTCCACTACAGTACAACTACAACTACAACTACAAGTACAACTACAACGACACTACACTACATTCCACTACACTCCACTACACTACACTACATTACACTACACTGAATGACACTGCACCACAGATAGACAGGTAGACAGACAGATAGATAGATAGATAGACAGATAGACAGGTAGACAGCTCGATAGATAGATAGATCGATACATAGAAAGGTAGGTAGGTAGATAGATAGATAGATAGATAGATAGGTAATTGGATGAAAGAGAGAGAGATAGATCGATAGATAGATAGATACATAGATAGGTAGGTAGGTAGGTAGATAGTCAGAGAAAGAGAGAGAAAGAGTGAGAGAGATCAATCACCTTTCGCTCCATCAGTGGCTTCGCCCTGCCATCCGTGATTCACAACAACCAACCTCTCCTATAGGTTTCCTATTTTTGAAACTTCCGCCGCTGCCTTGTGCGGTACTACTGGTATTGATACTTGATCATGTGAAACCGGTCGGGTTCATTGTCATCACTCGTGGCACCAAGGAGCGCCGATCGGACGCCATTTTGGCCTCAAGTGCTGGATCACCACCAGGCTAGTGCGAAAAGACCCACCACGGCCCAACCCTAGACGAGAAGTCTAAGACCAGCCCATCCCACTGAGTGAATAGCTCTTCAGTCGCTGCGCTCAGTTTTTGCGCCTGAGTTTTTGCGCCTGGCGTTTTTCGCGGGAGGGGCTTTGCACTGCATATTCTCCAACCTTTGTGTTCTTGACCTGGTCTGGGAAGGGCTGTGTGTTCAAGACAGCTGGATTGAGGATCAGTGCTGCGAAGCTCACGTGTTTCGATCCATTGTGATCGAGTCCCATTTGTTAAATGGATTTGAACTAGATCAGACTGCTCATCCCATGCCTAGAGCAGTTGCGCTCGTGTCAAAACATTGCGGAGAGGCGCGCGTGGGTGCTCAGGCATGTTTGTCAATTTAGTTATTTTTTTGAAATTCAGATTTGGTTGATTGAAGAAAGTGGATGATCAATCCACGTCCATACACACAGTGAGTCAGTATTGTATTTGCCATTACTTGCCAAGCCATGATTTGCAAACATCCGGCAAGAAAATAAACGGTCTTTACGGACCACACCCTAGCTCATCCCCTTAACTGTAGGGGTGGGGTAGTGGCCCGCCTGTCCGCCTAGTGCTGCGCCCGGGTATTGAACTCGGGTCTGACGCATGAGTCCGGCAAGAAAATAGAAAGAAATGGAGCCCTGCTTTCCTCGGAAAACGGACCAGCCGAAAGTGGATCTGCAACAACATCTATGTTCCCTGCTGCAACGCCGCCAGGTTGTTCTCCAGCTTGCAGGGAGTCTTGGAAGTGAATGGGTATCGCCCAATTCTAATCAGAGCACTGTCATGAGTCCATGAGTGTTGAACATGCTTGTAAGGGTTCTTGGAATGCAAAGGCAGCGCTTGTGCGGAAGCATCCTTTGTCAGTCAAATGCACATATTTACATTCAGCTGCATACGTGTTCATACACGCTGCAAGCGTGGTGCCTTTCATTCACAGTCCTGTTGTTAAAACCCCGAAGGAACAGGACTAATGCATTGAACTTGTTGCGGCGACCGCAGCGGTGTTTGAAACTCGAGTTTTGATGATGCGAGTTCCTGATAGCCAAGGTCAGATTCGGATCCTATTTGGTTGTCCACTGCAAGCCCGCTGGGACGGGATTGGCACGGTCACGGATGCCATGGGTGCATCATGGGATTTCGGTTCGCAACTGACCATGATGCAGTCTTGATTGAAGATCCTGTTTGACACTGTTTGAGCAGCAAACTCCCTTAGTCCAATGTCTCTGTGATACAGTACAGTTCAGGCTTCCTTCACCCTACAGGTATTGCAAGGAGTAATGGTGTTGAACATTGTTGAACATTGCGCTGTCCTCAGCCAGTAGAATGCCATCAGGCAGAGTTTGTGTCAGGGGTACAGTGGTTTGGAGCTTTGCATCTGCATCACGTGACAGACACACAGTGGCTGCGAAACCCTGCGAAACCAAACCATTTCATTAGGGACCGCTGAACGGTGACAGGCAGACTTTCTCTGGCATTCAAAACAGCTGTGGGGATTCCCAGTTTGGAAGTGCCCTTGGGGGGTTGGACTTAGTGGTAAGACGTGGCAACGTGTTTCAGGCAGAACCAGGATGTCCATTTGAACAACGGTTGCCAATCACAAATCTGGGACCAGAAAACTCTTCAAGGAGAGGTGTCTGCTGATGTTTCGGTTTGCTCAGAATTTCCATCAAGACCAGCTGCCAAAGTGACGCTCTCATAATGCCATCAAGGGTTTGCGCAGCCCAGAAGAATGCCATCGCTGACACGTGTGAGATCGAGGTTTGGGGTTTCCCAACGGTGGGCATTGCGCATGGTCGAACAGCCGAGGTGGGTGCAGGGTCAGGCAACAGAAATTTGTGGTCGTTTTCTGGGCCGCACTGTGGCATGTCTAGCTGAAAATGTTGTTTCCTGTTTCAGGTTGAGGAAGGTATTTTTGGACAGGGGTCATCAGTTCCGAACATCCAACGTAGCCTGGGAATTTTGCTACTCCATGTCCTTCTCAGAAACTTGTGGCTGTGTAGCGATTTGAATATTTATTGCCTTGGAGATGTAGCTCGTACTGTTCATCTATGTCTTGCAGTTCGTCTTTTCGGACATGATGTTCAAAACAACCGGAGAGGTATCGCATTTTTGCTTGTTGCAAGATCACGATTGGGATGGGTGTCCACCAAGAGATGGACATGTTCACGTTTTTGCTTCGCATTTTGACATGTTTTCGCTTTCAAACACAAAAGACAAACTCTGCCAGCATATGCCAGCATGATTGCAGCGGCGACTTCTGCTATGGCCTGCGTCGTTACTGGGTCGCTCCGGCATCTTCATGGATAGGACCGATAGGAGACGGGACCTGTGGACGATAGATTGGCTTGAACCGGCATTTTTTCAAAGTTGGGAAGGTTTTAGGCTATTGAGGATAGGTGTTTAATTTTCTTTGGGCTTGATGTTGAAATATCAGTGCCTAGACCTAGACTCTACAGCAATAGCAGGCTCCTGGAGTTCCAGTGGTGACCCTGCGAGCACCGCTTGATGGCTGGCTTCGCTCATGGCAAAGGCTGGTTTAGCGCATGCAACTGATGTCTAGAAGTTCTTTTCAGCAAGTGCATTGGACGTCCATTGTGGATGTCCATTGGATGTCTATTAGATGTCCATGGGAATTCGCTTCTGGCTTGGTGCTTGCATCCTCTCTATCCCAGTCCACAGATGTCCACAGCACCGCGTCCCTCCTTTCCATTGCGACGCGGCAAGCCACCTGGAGGCATGTTCATCGGATCGATGCTCCCTTAAAGTTTTTCCTGGTGCAACGTCAAGATCTCAGTCGCATTGCCACAAGGGATCCACACGGTTCACCCAGGACTCCAGAGAAGTATCCTTAGGCATCGATAGCTGAGAACAGATAGCATCCGAGGATGTTTTTATGATTTTTTGTGCATCTTGCAGGGTCGACTTCCTTTGGCTCAGGGATTTGCAGGGTGGGATGCGAAGGATTTCCTTACACTCGAAGACTGGAATGGTCCACAATTGTCATAAGTCATAAACGATTCGTTCCTATTTTTCCTCCTCACTCAGCCACTTTGCAACATTTTTGATTTTGCAGTCTACTCTGAGGTTCTAGAAAGCTCTCGCGTCGGTTGGTCGCACCTGAGCGATTGGCTTGGGTGCCCAGTTGGATTGGGCGGCTTGAAAGCACCCCATTCCATACCTGCCATACCTATTGCAAGTTCCAGCCGGGTTCTTCGCATTGAGGCCAGCTCATGGTCACGAGCGTTTGGAGCCTAGTCCCACGATTTGGAGCCTAGTCCCACGAGATGCCATGGACAGGTTTCTTATTGGCCTATATTTCTATAAATAATATTTACTATATAATATTAATATTATATAAGATAAGATAATATGATATAATATATTATATGATGTGATATGATATATAATATGATATAGTATGATTTAATATGATATAATATAATGAAATATGATATAATACAATAAAATATGATATAATATAATATAACATAATATAATATAATATAATATGATATATAATAAAATACAGTATAATAGAATATGTTTATATATATATATCTAAATTACATAATATACATAAGATACATAATATACATAATATACAAAATTGCAAAATATACATAATATACATAATATACAGAATATACAAAATATACAACATATACATAATATACATAATATACACAATATACGAAATATAAATAATCATTTAAGCGCTTACGCGCGACAGCCGGCCAGGGGCGCAACTATGTTGGCCCATCTTGTGGCTATGTTGGCCTATGTTGGCCGATGTTGGCCTAACACTGTAAAACGCAGTATGGGCTATGCTGGCCTATCTTGAGGGCAAAGTGGGCCCATCTTGGGGCTATGTTAGTCCATCTCGGGGCTATGTTGGCCCATCTTGGGACTATGTTGGCCCATCTTGGGGCTATGTTGGCCCATCTTGGGGGCTATGTTGGCCCATCTTGGGGGCTATGTTGGCCCATCTTGAGGCCTATGTTGGCCCATCTTGAGGCCTATGTTGGCCCATGTTGACCCATCTCGAGCCACAAGATCCGAAAAATGGCAAACAATGGGAAGAGCACAAAACACCGTAAAACGCGGGACTTTTTGGCGGGGGGAAAAAATTGTCTAAAACAACAGTTCATAGAAGTTTTTTTTTAATTTCAATTATAACAGTCTAAGCACAGATTTTTATTATTGTTGATTACTTCATTTTTTCAACAATATCAAAACTATAATGAAAAGCACAACAGTCAAAGTATAGTTACCTCATCCATTTTTCAAAATCACAACAGTTCAAAGAATAATACCATAAAACCATAACAGCAAAATAACAAAACCCAAAAACAGAACAATCAACAAACAACAGCAAAACCATCACTACCTACCACCAATCACCTCATTTAATTTTCACAAAATCATCACTGCCACCTATATCATCATCTCATTCATTTTCATAAATCATAACTACTAACCATCTATTACCTCATCCATTTTATAAAAATCACAACAGTCAATACATCATCACCTCATCCATTCCACACGCAAAACGGAACAACCAAACAACAAACAAAAAAAGCAAACCAAGCAAAGCACAATATGAAAAACCAAAGCAGAGAACAACAAATATAAATCCATACCCTTTATAATCCTATCTTAATCATCCATAATTCTAATAAATAAATATTATTGGAAATATGTTAGTAGTAAATGTCTTCAATAATTACGAATTTAAAATGAAATGCCTGTATTCCTATTATACTATCTTTATCTTGGTCTTCTTCTATGTCGGCTTTTATTTCTTCAACTGCTTTCTCTAATAGTTCATCTACATTATCTTCATCCACATATTCATCAAAGTCATTCATAAAATAAATCTCTCGCCACTAATTGGACTTCAATATCAAGTTTAACTCTATAATTTAAATCATTTTCTAATTTTTCATAAATTAAAGATAATAATTATTTTTTTCTTCGGTTATTATGTCTTCTAAACTTTTTAAACTAAATGGCGCTCCCTCTCTTATAATACAGTATTCAATTATACAAATGTCTTGCTATTTTAGGACCAAGTCTTGAAATCTTATATTTGTTTTGTATTCTCTTTAATGCCTCAATATGGCAACATTTAATTTTCGAAAAGTATTTTTATTCTCAATAGGAACTTTGTATATCAGTTTGTGCTTGTGGCATCTCATACAAGTCCCTAACACAAACCCCAAATAGTTTCGACATCCAAGTTTATAGGTTTGAACATTTTACCCTTCCAACTTCCCACCGGTTGACTTATTTTTAGTGACACTCAGTCATAAAACCTCAAAAATCCAAACCCAAACATGCTTAGCGTTCAAAGCAGTGAGACTTGAGCTTTGTCCCAAGCCAATCCAAAAACCGAGCCAATTTCCCCCAAACCGAACCAATTTTTCCCCAAACCGAACTTGTTTGCCCCAAAAACGGAACGTTTTTCCCCAAAATCGGTGACGCATTTCCCCAAAATTGGTAACGGATTTCCCCGAAATCGGTGATGGATTTCCTCAAAATCCGCGACGGATTTCCCCAAAATCGGTGACGCATTTCCCAAAATCGGTGACGCATTTCCCAAAATCGGTGACGGATTTCCCCAAAATCGGTGGCTGATTTCCTGAGAGCCCAGCCTCGTTAGCCGGAACCCCAACTCCCAAAGCCAAAAAATACCAAACGCATTTTTAAGTATGTACATACTTGCTCAAAACACAAAAACAATGAGGGATTTCCAGCCCGCGACCACTCGTGGAGCTTGCAGGAAAACGCAAACGAGGGTGAACCTGTGGATTTCTTGCGCCAGCACGTTGAAATGTATTTGCAAACATGGCATGCTTCCATGCGCGTCTGGGTTTGATGTTCAGTTTCAAGCTTTCGGCTCAGCGTTTGCAGATGAATTCCGGGGCAACAGCCCCTGCCGTGCAGCTCAGTCTTAGAGGGCTCAAAACGAAGAACTATTCCAAAAAAGTTGACAGAGCAGGGGTCGAAACTCAGTTTTGATTGCTTGATTGCGACCCTTTTTTCAGCGCAATGGCTTCCAAGAGAAGCGCTTCAGCTTCTTGTCTGCGTCTTGCTGCAATTAGTTGTTTTTTGGTCGGCGCCTTCCAAAATTTGACCTTCAGCATCCCAAAGCAGATAGAGGAAAGCGCCCAAAACAAGGCATCAGTCCCGCCCAATACCTGAAAGATGTGAGCAACAGAGCAGAACTCTATCGAAAGAGGCGCGGTTGCTGGGCGAGAGGAGTTTGTGAAGACATTGAATGAGGCAGTGCGGTTGAGCTATCCGTTGTTTCTCATGAACTTGTTTTAATTCTGTTTGGAGTTTAGAGGTTCAGTATGGTTAAGGAAGTTTATGCGGTTATTAGACGGTTTTTCCTGTCCATTTTTGAAAAGACTTCAGCTAAGCTAAATTGTGATACAGTTCAAGATGTCACGCAACTTCGTCGGGCTATGGGAAAGTCTGGTTTGCGCCTTGTCATTGGGGGCAAGTCCCTCGGAAAGACCAAAATTGTGCAGACCGTTGTTGACAATGCTGGCGATGAAGCTCCTTTGCTCTACGTCAATATGCGTCTCCCGAGCAAAGCCCAGTCAACGGATGCATTGGAATGTTTGCAAGAAGAAGCTAAGCGAAGATGGACCGCAAAGAATTTGCCATTCGGGGCAGAGCGGCTGGTTGCCGCCGGTTCTGCGGTTGTTGGAGCACTTGGCAAAGCGAACTTAAAGAAGAGTGACGATGAGGAGATAGGAGAGGGTGCAGTGGAAACCCTTCTCTCTTTGTTTCTCAACATCACGAAGCCCGAGGAGTTCATCAAGGCTTTTGTTGCGGCAACAATAGCTGCAGAGAAGGTTCCAGTCATGATTGTTGATGAAGCCAACATCGCCTTTCCCAATGGTAACGGTGGGAATGGGAATGGCAGAAGAGAAGCAGCTTACAGAGCGCTCGCAACCTTTGTGGCGCTGACAAAGGAGCAGGGGAAAGCGTCTGTTATTCTGGTTGCCTCTGACTATGCTTTCCCATTGGGACTACAAGCTCTTGGCTTCAACAGGTATGATGCTCTCAATACGATTGTAGCTCCGGAGGTTGAAGAGAAGCCTATGCTTTTTTGGCTGCAAGAGTGGGGTTTGTCTCAAGACTTGGCACAGGAGCTATGAGCAACTTTGCACAGTGTTTTTCCAAACCTTGCTTTTGTTAGCTCATGCTCGTGCAAAACAGGGTCGAATTTTGGTGTTCTTTGGTTGGGTGGATTTCTTGTAATCAGTTCATCACGGGATGTATGGGTCGGAACTGTGTGCGTGTAACGTCATGTCAAATCGGCATATTGCAAATGATTTTGTGTTGTGGGCTGGCAGGAGTTCTATGAGACCTTTGGTGGAAACGTTTTTCTGTGCCACCAGGCGGTCGACAAGCTCCGTGAGCAATTCGAGTTGTGTCAGGAGAGGCTCTTCGACCCCTTCAACGTCCGAGACAATGCCGGCTTAGATGACCTCATTGGTGACCCGCTCACTCGGAAGCACATGGAGAACTTGGCTCAAGTAGAGGGTGGCGCTGCAGAAGCGGAGACGGAGAGCCAGAAGGGTGCTCGCATCATCGCCAAGAAGAACTTCGGCGCCATCATCGCGAGACAGACCACTACTTTCTTTGACGAAGCCTTGAAGGAAGATATGTTCAGAGACCCAGCTGCTGTGCGGGTTTTAATTCCACCAACTACATATGCACGCAAGTGCATCCAGCGGATGGTGGACACGGTGAAACCAAGCAACTTGGACTTCAAAGAAAGACTTTTCTTTTGGAGCAACCTCTCGTCACTATGAGCCCCAGTCATTTTGCAGTTTGTTTCTCAATCTTTCAGGAGCATTTATCGGATACGCGAACCATTTTTTCTCCATCCGTTCTCGGTTGAACATGTTGAACGCAAGGCATCACCACACAACAAGCTGGAGCAGTGTGGGTGAGGCAACTACAGGAGGACAGGAGTGACCGGTGCCAGTCAGTTGCTCCACCAAGGAAGCATTATTGTATTGGGTTCTACGATTTAAACAATCATGTCTATGCCAACTCATAAAGCAGCAAACTACATGGTGTTAATGTAACTTTCCTCCCAAGCCAAACGTGTGATTATGTGTAAGCCCGCTATTCAAAATAATACCGTGTCATTTTACGTTCTTGACACAGCTCAGCACTTTTTGGGGAGAAGATTGCAGGGTTGTTCATTCCACAGGATTTGCTAAACGATATATTCCAATAATTTTCCCTAAATTGATAGTAAGGATTTAGACGACTAAAGACTTTGTATGATTTTTTGCCATGCCCTTGTTCCTGTGCCATGTCCATTTGTCTGTTCCCACCTCAACATCTCACCTTTTGAGTGATACAGCAAGTTTTGAACAAGCAGCCTTGTCATCCCTATATGTGTTCCTTTCATGTGTTGCTTTGCGAGGTTCGCGTGCTAAAACCGGTCTGGATTGGTCATGTTGATAAAGGTAGGGCTGTGTTCCATCATTTCTCCCACCCAAGCGTCAAAGGTTTGTGATTTGCAAGAGCCACTGCAACAGTTGATGCCATTGTTCCTTTACGAAGTTCCTTTGGACTCGCGTTAGGTTCAGATACAAGTGATTTATTCAGTCGACGCTTCATCAAGAAATTTCCCACTGCCATGTTGCCATGTTTCCAAATGTTTTGCATGGTGCGTTGCATTGCTTGTCATGTGTGTTAAGTGTTTGCTATGTGTTTTTTTTGAGCACGGCCGGACATTGTTTGAAAGGGTGGCGCTGGAATCAAGATATCTTTCAGACGTTTCCCTCAATTTGATAGAGAGGGATTTCGACGAAAGACTTGGCATGTTTTCTGGAATGCCCCTGTTTCTTTCCCCTGTTCATTTTGCCTCTTCCTACTCAACATCTCATCTTTTGAGAAATACTGCAAGTGTTGAACGAGCCGCTTTGTCTTCCCTATATGTTCCTTTCATTTGTTCCTTTTTGTGGTTCGTGTGCTAAAAGCCGGTGTTAATTGGTCATGTTAACACAGGTAGGGTTGCGTTCCATCATTTCTCCCACTCGAGCATCAAAGGCTTTGTAATTTGCAAAAGTCAATGGAACAGTTTATGCCTTTGTCCCTTTTCGTTTTGACTAGTGTTAGGTTGAAATTTAAGTGGTTTGTTCAGCCAAAACTTCATAAAGAGATTTCCTTCAGCCATGCGTTCATGTCTTCCTCTCCAGTCAAGAGAGTGGGTGCACGGAAGCGGCTTGTGCAACACGGGTTTGGGTTTGAATGTCTTGGCTGTTGACCTTGCAGGACGGCAAAGGTGGCTTCGAGTTCGTTGGCAGTGCCTTCAAAATCACTGCAGCAGTTGGTGACGTTGATGATTTGAAAAAAGTGCTGACCTCAGCGCAGAACATTTTCAGAAGAGACATGACAAAACTAAAGCAGAGCGACCATTTTTTGCCTGCTTGAAGAAAGTCCAGAGCTTAAGCTTTTGTGTTTCAGTCAAGCTTGGTGCTTTGACTAAGCCAATTTAGCGTTTGGTTTTGCTTCCGACAAAGCGCGAGGCAATTGACCCTTCCTTGTCTCCCATCCAAACGTCCAAAATTGAGATGTACAGCCTGAAGGACAGCTTCGCTATTTTCTTCCAGTATCCACCGCACTATCTAACCGGACCTTTCGAAACGTTGCAGCAAGAAGTCTTTTGAGCATTGTGGTTTGTCAGTTTGCTCATCACGGATTTGCAGGATGGAAGTTGGATGCGGGAAGATGAAGAAGCACCAGTCAATCGTGGCACGTCCAAGCCCGGCACTTGGCTTTTCGTTTTGAGTAGTTTTTGACAATGCTTCGGTTCAGATTGATGTCATTGTTTACAATTTACAACTTTCTGATCTATTTTGTTCTTTTGCCTCCTCTGAGCGTTCAGGTCAGACTGCTATGGTTTCACGATACCATCAATGTGAGTGTGTGTCTCAGCTTTCTCAGCAACCTGCTGTGGCTTGACGGTAATGGAGCTCCGTGGTCACAGTGACAAATTTTGGCTCTCACGAGGGTTTGTTTGTTGCTTTGTCGGCTGAGGCTGTCGAAATCCATTGAGAGCAAGAATGTGGGTGTGTATGTAGTCTATTAAAGTTTCACATCGTATCACAAAATCAACACAGTTGGTTCGTTGTGGTATGACCTTGCGTCAATGATAGAAGAATTATGCGTTCGCACGTGGACAAGTCCAACTTGGACTGAAGGGTTGACTTTTCCTGACAAACAGGTCATGCATGCAATGGGTGCAGGAGCAATGACCCAAGAGCTGGTCATAGCATGTTTCATTCAGGCGTTGCACATAGCGCCCAAGCACAGACCAAGCAACATACAGTTCCCTGAGAAAAAGACTTGTGCTTGATTTTGGACAGGCTTGCCTGGCAGTCGGAGCTTTGAATGGAAAACTAGTAGAAAAATTAAGGAAAATCGGTGGAAAACTAGTGGACAAAGTTTTGGCAACTAAGGGTGCCTTTTCAACATGCTAAACTCCTTGCAGTCACGAAAAGCATGCCACCGACTTATATGAGAATTGCGCTCCTTCGCTAAATGCTGGGAAAGCACTAATGAATTGCAACACAGCCATCATTGGCAGACAATCCCAAGGCCAAACAAGTTATATACATTGGGGCAAGTCGGACCCAGGTTGCGTGGTCAATTGAAGATTACTCTTTGGCGGCCAGAGATGTACAGCATCCTGCAGCAGGACAGCCATGTGGTAGAATGTGTATTCGGCCGTGTCACCCATGTACCTATGAAAACGATGACAACTCACCACAACTCATAGTATATAGGATCATTTTGATACCGTGCTCGTAATTCTTGCAGACACCTAATTCAGAAGAACATGTTTGATAGATATAAAAGTACAAATCACTATTGCGCTGCAAATGGACTTTGGGCACGGACATTTTCGGCAGGCAGAACATCTGAAATCAGCGGTTCCACATCCCAACAGCGGGCCTGTGTATTTGCTTTGGTTGGTTGACTCAAAGAACAAACTTGAAGATTATTGTCTCCTACAGTGATGGTTGTCTAACACTAAATGCTAGGTTTATGTTTTGATTTTCAATCAGAAAGAACCATTTTGTTTCTGCCAGACAGCCACATGATTAGAGTGGTTGTAGGTTCAAACACCTCATTTCGCCCAACATCACTTTTACAGTAGGATCTTTTAGGTTTCCATGGTTTGATGTTTAAGAATTAGGGTTTTGGGTTTCGGTGTTTAGGTTTTGAGGGTTTAGGGTGTTGGGGCTTCAGGGTTTTAGGGTATTAGGGTTCAGGATAACTTGTGCACTGATGCAGAGGGCCCTTACCTAAGCTTTCAGGAATGTCAGAATGACCTGCTATTTGCAATGTTTCTAAATGCCTCGGGCAAATTGAGGTGTTTGTCCGTACTTGTGCTCGTAGTTACCTAGTGGGTCCCCTTGCCCTCTGCATCTCCCCAGGCACGAATGCTGTATGCTGCGGACGCTCTGGCAGCAGTCACTGGACAGGTGCGCTGGGATAGCCATAAATTTGGATAATTCTGGTCATCCTTGTCGTGCAGCTGTTTATATCCATTTATATATATATATATATACATATTCATTTATCTGGGATTCATTTGAATTTACCAATCTAGAGAAGTTGACAAACCCACAGTCCTTTCTTTGACAATTTTGCTGCTAGCATTGCTGCAGGCTTGTGGCTTGGGCATCTTTTTGCGTCGGAAACGGATTCTACTCGAGGCGACCCGGAGGAGCTAAGAGTTCAACAGTTGAGCTGATACACTGCAGGTCTGGTCTGGTTTGCCCAAACAATTCAAAATAGCCATTGAAACATGGGGAATCAACTGTTGGGCAGTTGCGGCAAGATGAACAACTCCTTGGTTCATCATCTAGGAAATTATAGGATATCTTGTCGTTCATGTATCAGGCTTTTGGGGCGCGGTGCACAGAGCGATCCTGACTCAGTATGACATAGAATGACTTAGTATGACTGACTACGACCTAGTATGACTTCATCATTGAGCTGTGGAGAGCTGTGGCACCTGTTCCGGCAGTTTACGCCGGCCATCGATGGGTCCTATGGCTGCCGATGGGGATGGGTGCGCATGGGGGATGGCAAAGCAGACTTTGAAAGGTGTTGTCATTGAGCAGTCGCATCAATTCTTCATTGATCAATGACAAGTACACCCCCACACCCACACACACACACACACCCACACCCACACACACACCCACACCCACACACTCAATATCACTAAATTACTGAGTTTTGATGGGTTGACACTCGTACTTATCGTTTCCAGCTGCGGTGTTGTAGTGTCCAGGGCCATGCGTGTGGCTAGATGGAGGAACACGCATGTGAAATCAGGAACCTTTTCAACCTTTGAGTTTGTGGATGTTTGGGCGAACTCAGTCGAACATGCTAGCTTGAATGAAAGGATATTGTCACTATGGGGTGGATGTAGCTGCTTTTGCAAATTTGCTGGATGAATTGGCAGAAGCGTCTCAGTCTCTGATCTAAGAAGTCCTCGCAGGATATGAATCCCACCAGCGAGGCGCACACTTGCTGGCTTAACTAGTTGAGTCAACAGGCATCAAGCGTTAGTCCAAGGTTTAAATGCACCAGCGGCTGCCATAATTCATCATTGTTTGAGTTTTGACCAGGCTGTTACGGCACGTTGTTCTCGCACTTTCAATTGAAAAAATCGAAGCCAATGTTCACTTGATTCAGTTCGCTCATGTTATTTTATCAGTCATGCGGCATGCCGAGCTGCCATGTTTCCGAAAGCGATTCAGGTTGGCCAAATCGGCCGCCTGGGGGAGTTGCACCATCACTGCGCCCCTGAGCGAAATTGATGTCTTTGGATGTCCCCTTCCCGAAAGCAGGCTGTTTGAATCTGCCAAGAGGCATCAAGAGGCTGAAGGTCCAAGTGTCATTTTTGAAATTTGTTGAATGTTGTTATGTTTGATGTGCAACTTGTTTGAAACTTCCCGACCAAGTATGTGCGTACCCTGGAACCCTGAAATTATGCAGGCCAAGAATTGGAGACGCCTTGGGATCAGCAATCAGCTAGGTCTCAACATGTCTCAACTGGGTCAACCCTAGCTATCACTCTATCAATTGTATCGTTTCGGTGTGCTCCACTCGAGGTCATGTCTTTGGCAGTTGGAGTGGCTGAACGAACAACTTCAGGGGCAAAGAGGCGGCTTACGTCGGAGTCTGTGCCGGTGGAAAGGGGCAATCCACAGCAGCATTTTGATAGCTTATGATAGCTTAGCCAGTTTGCAATTACATTGAAATGTTTGTATGCAACAACATCCATTTGAAGCGCGAATTGGCTGATTGAAGTGCCAACATCAAAACTGGCAAGTGCTTCCTTGGAGGCTTTTGCTCTGAAGGCAAAGGGTATCAGTGTCTGCAGGGCAACGATCACGATGCACTGTTCACCATCAACTCATAGGAAACATTGGAAACTGTACTGGGGAATTATGCGACCGTTGCGTGTGCCAGACGCTTACTTTTCCTCAACAACACCGTTGATTCGTTTATTTTCCTTTTTCCTGCCTCCTCCGACAAGATGAAAGGTTTCTATTCACCAATACCTTCATCCTCCCTTGCCAGGAGCGCTGAGCTGGCTTTGGCCAGCAGAACAGCAGGACAACAGTCCATCGGGCCCCCTTGACAAAGAAGACTGGATGAACACATATGAAAGAAGGGACGTGATGTCAGACCATTTCCAAGGATCATTTTAGAATGTTTTGTGGATCTTTTTTGGGGCCCACTCCATGCCCGAAAAGTCCGCTTGCAAAACAATGACACCCGGAAATACTGTAATGGGTCAGCCTGCATTTGGTAGTCATCCGCAAGTTGACAGGTGCGCCTTGTTTCGCTGCTGCCTCAGCCTTGCATTCAGCAGCTACACAATTTAGTCAAATGCTTCTAAATACAAAGCAGAGTTTGTAGTAGGATGTTAGACGTGATTTGACTTCAGAGATTATCCATCCATATGCACATGTCATATACACCGTGAACATGCGTCCACAATCGAAGTAGTCCATGGGCTCTCTCTACACCGTCCAACTTGTCCATCTAAAATTCCTTCTGACATCCAGCAAAAGAAGAACTATTGTAGCAGTCACACAAGCAGACAAACAAGAACAACAACCACCACAACAACCACAACAACAACAACAGCAGCAGCAGCAGCAACAGCAGCAGCACGAGCAGCAAGAACAGCAAGAACAGCAAGAACAGCAAGAACAGCAAGAACAGCAGCAGCAGCAACAACAGCAGCAACAATAGCAGCAACAATAGGAGCAACAACAGCAGCAACAACAGCAGCAACAACAGCAGCAACAACACGACAACAACAACGACAACAACAACAACAACAACACAACAACAACACGACAACAACAACAACAACAAGCAACAGCAGCAGCAGCAGCAGCACAGCAGCAGCAGCAGCACAGCAGCAGCAAGAACAGCAGAACAGCAAGAACAGCAAGAACAGCAAGAACAGCAAGAACAGCAAGAACAGCAAGAACAGCAAGAAGCAGCAAGAACAGCAAGAACAGCAAGAACAGCAAGAACAGCAAGAACAGCAAGAACAGCAAGAACAGCAAGAACAGCAAGAACAGCAAGAACAGCACAGAACAGCAAGAACAGCAAGAACAGCAAGAACAGCAAGAACAGCAAGAACAGCAAGAACAGCAAGAACAGCAAGAACAGCAAGAACAGCAAGAACAGCAAGAACAGCACGAACAGCAAGAACAGCAAGAACAGCAAGAACAGCAAGAACAGCAAGAACAGCAAGAACAGCAAGAACAGCAAGAACAGCAAGAACAGCAAGAACAGCAAGAACAGCAAGAACAGCAAGAACAGCAAGAACAGCAGCAGCAACAACCACCACCACCACCACCACCACCACAACCACAACCACAACCACAACAACAACCACAAGGTACAAACAATGACTGGGACCCCGTGTTCAATCCATATCTCTTTTTGTGCCCACCAGGGGGTACTGTACAAACAAAGACTGGGACCAGCAAGTGGACAACGAAAGAAACGAATCATTCAATTCCAAAAGATACTCGTAGCTGCCAGTCCCCTTCTTGAAGAAACTGGGCAGCTGAGTGGCCCCAAAGGGGCCCAGAAGCTGGAAAACGCAACACGTGCTCAAGCTGCGCCTAGGAAAAAGAAGCCTAGACCCCTTATTGAAGGATTGCAACCGCTGAGTGGCCCAAAACGGGGCCCAGCAGCTAAAAAAATCACATTGATCCAAAACGAGCCTGCCAAACCTCTTTTTGCAATATTTAAGCCGCTGAGCGGCCAAAAAGGGGCCCAGGAAGCTTTAACCAAAAACAAAAAATGGAGGAACAACTTTACACCAAAATTCTTTTTCAGAACGGTAGAAAACTCGATGGACGCCCTTAAGGAGCACCAAACAAATTGTCCAAAAGAAGTTCCGGTAACTTGTTCTCCGGGCCCCAGTCTTTGCTTTTACCAACAGCAACAGCAACAGCAACAACAACAACAACAACAACACCAACACCAACACCAACAACACCAACAGCGCCAGCGCCAGCGCCAGCGCCAGCACCAGCACCAGCACCAGCACCGTACCAACACACACACAACTGTGCCCTGCGCACTGGATAGTTTTTCCATTGTTAAAAACACGCCATGGCAAGTTGCGCAATATGGGAAGTGGTTGGAGGAGCAGAGAACCTGGGCTTGGAACAGTTTAATGCACCCGCATCAGCTTTACCCGGGTTTGTTTTTTTATCAAAGGGATGGACAACAAGTAGCAGCTAGCCTTTGACCCTGGCAGTTTGCCCAGTTACAAGTAAAAAGGCTGAAGCGCACACAAAATTAAATAAGGAGCATTCCCTGCTCGTTTTTGGAATCTCCAGCCAAATGGTACCAACTGGTATTGTATTTCCTTACTTAGCTGTCCAGCCCAGGAAAGGAGGCATCGTGGTCCGAGAAGATGCCGATTTGAAGTCTTCTGAGTGTCCGCGTTTGGCACCAGGCCCAGGGCATGAAACAGAGGTCTTTGAAAGAGAAGGGACAGCAATCGATATGTATGATAATTCATGATTATTTGTGATCATGTATGATTCTTTCTGATGCTTTATGATTTTTCGTGATAATTTGTGGTAATTCCTGAACGCTTGACTTCTCCCCATGAGTGAAGGGCGCTTTGCTCATCTTGGATCTTGCTAATTTTGAGCCCCAAAGAGGCGCTCTGGTGCAGCAACTGGCCCTACAAGGAGAGCATTTTGAAAGTGTAAAGTAACAATTTACACAGCACCTCAGTAGGTACCAACAGCAAATGGGTGTGCTGACCATTGCTGGCCCGTTCAGTATACGCAGAATGCAGTCCTTCAAGTACCCTTGGATCCCTTGGTTCAACCTGAGGAGACCGTCTTCGTTTTGCAAAGACTGTGGGTGTGGGGCCTGCGACTGGCTGGGTTTCCATTTGCCTCCGAGACAAACCACTCTTGACTCTGCGGGGAGAGATATCCAAGGAGGAGATCCAGAGAATTGAAACCGACTCCTGGCATTTGCTTCAGAGAAATCTACTTCCGTGACGCAGCACATGTTTGCTGACTTAGCAGCACCTGGCTGAATAAGAGTTGATTCCGCAAAAAGTTCCAAACGGAACGGTGCCACAAAACGTTGGAACACGCAGGTTATACACTGCACATGAAGCTTATGCTGGGATCGGTATGGTTCGTAGGCCTATCGATCTTGTATCACATACACAGGTTACACATGTTTGCTTTGTGTTCTTGACACCTTTGATGCAAAAGACGGCAAGGCAAATGAGAATGGCACGACTGGCACGAACTCCTTGTGCGAGAGTTTGTGGAAGTGGCGCTTTTACCAGCTGGCTCAGGTAGGACATTGCCTCTCTTTGGCTTTGGCTATTCTGAAAATGAGGAGGATGGCCCAGGAGACTTCTTTCATTTTTGTCTCTGAATCATTGCTCTGGAGGATTGATTGTTGGATTTTTATGTTTTTTATTTCAATTGCCAACTCCAGAGAATGTCTGTGCCCCTTGGTAGGTGGAGCAAGACTTGGAAATGGCTTCTAAAGTAGAGCCAGGCTCCGCAAGCAAACGTGCATTGCTGGCCTTTAACATCTGCATGTCACGTTTTCCAGAAGCGCTCAGTTTGGCAGAAGAGCTTGGGGAAAAGGAAGTCCAAGTGCTTGTCGAACAGTGGGAAGCGGAGGCGGAAAAGTTGTCCTCTTTATTCTTCCCATGCCATCGTAATCCTGCAGTGGGTCATCAATGGATCTCAGGCAGCCAGATTCGTCAGACTGACATCGCTTGGGAAGTTGATGGCGCGGTTCTAGGCTTGCGGCTACTATTGCAGTGTGAAGATGGTCAGCCAATCCATGGTTTCCCGGTCGTCTTAATGTTTCACGGAGAGGATCAAAACATTGACACCTTCTGTGAGGAGGAGCCATTGGCTGCCAGCAAACAAGGGTAAAGCAGTGAGCAGGCGTGAAAGTGACACTATATTTTGTACTGGTGAAATATTTCAGATGACATTTTGATACTTGCATGAGGATTTCGCACTAGATGTTTAATTCTCAGTGGCATTTCTGTTGAAATGGTATGAGTTTCCAGTTTCAGAATGGTTTTGTCATGGAACGTTGTAGATGCCCTGACCGCACACATACTTAGCCTTGAGTTTCATTGTCGTGCAGTGCTGCCCTCCTTCCAAACAGTCGCAGAACGTGATTTCAAGGAGAACTTGGAAGCGTGGCGGGCAGCAAATGTTCACCTTCTCATCGCAGATTTCCGAGGATACGGTTTCTCCACCGGGACAAGTTCACACTACCATTTGTTGCTTGGCTTTCTGCATGAGCATCGACTCACAGGCTTAATTTGCTTCTCTTCTTTTTCGAATGAAAAAGGGTCAATAAGCCATAATAATAATCATGAATAGACCACACAACATCATCAAATCTCATAAAACAAATTCCAAAACGGTGTTTGAAGCTAAGCCGCCTTGATTCGCCTTGTAAGGCGCCCAGATGGTGAGCGCATTTGCCGATCCCTGCCTCAACTCTTTGAACGGCAGCAGTTGCCATGGCCATGGCCAGGTGGTTGGGCAGTGTATGGCAATGGCTTGGGCTCACGCGTAGCCTGCTTTCTGGCAGCCCTAAAGGGAACCAAGATCTTCAACCGTGGCTTGGTATTGGAGAATCTTGGCAAGGCAAGTTGGGTGAGTCAAATAGCTGTTTAATACTGCTGATATTTACAGCAGATCGGTGTGATCAGTGAGATCCCATCAGCGCCAGTGTTTCTGAGGATTTTGCAAGCTGCGACAGCAACCTCCACTAACCCATCCTATTCCCCGCCAGAAAACATCCATAGCATCCCATGGCACATGGCATCCAAGGACAGGCTGGGCTGGAAGCTATGCTCCTGGAGCCAAAGCGCTTCCGGAACCGCCGAAGCACACTGCCTTGGCAACCATGGGCTGTAATGCTGCAGGTGACAGCAGGCAGAGCCCTGCAATTTAGCTGAAATCAACAGAACAGATTCGTGCTGTCTAGAGTCTAGATCTTTTTTTATGTTCACCCAGAGTTCACCCAACTATAATTTCAGGAGGCTTGGATTTGAACCAAAGCCACCTCCAACCTAAAAATCAGCCAGCCAACAGTTCCAACCTTTGCACGCACTGCAGGTTTGGAAGCCGGCAGTTGCACCTTTGCGCAGCGCAGCTTGGGCGCAAGGCACGTCAGTTGTTGACAACAGCAATGGAAGGCAATCGTGACCTGGCAGCTTTAGTGCAGAGAATTTTGCGAGGTCAAGTTAGACATCAAGCTCAGAAAGTCAAAGTATGTTGCCCCCTGCAGTGTTTCATGATTATGTAATTTCAGGCTGCTGTGCTACTACCGTGTGTTATTTGATCCTTAAGTCATAGCCGCTTGGGATCTGTTGATAGGAAAGATAGATGAGCGGCACACCGGTGACCTCAAACTCCCACTTATGAGGTCACCGGAGCTAAGAACTAAGGTGGCCCGGAGCTTGCGCAGTATGTCTTTGTGCGAGGCAACGAGGATTTGATCCAGGCTGGCAACATGTGGATTTCCGTCAATTTCCTAGCTTGGATGTAGATCCCAGATATTCCCAGATAGTATGTGGGTGGTACTTCCAGGTGGTAATTCTAGGTGGTTGACCCAGTTGAAATCAGTTGAGTGGACCGTGGCCGCAGGCCTTTGATGGCGAAGTCCTCATTTTGCATGGGGAGGTGGATCATTTGGTGCCTGCAGAGCATGCTGTCCGCCTGCACCAAGCAGCGGTGAGAGCTGGTCAGAGGCTCCAAAGGATGGGGGGAGAGCAAGAGGTGAACAGAAAGGGGGATGACCGAGGAAACTTGTGAGATTCTCAAGACAAGTCAAAGGAGCGGGGTATGGAGAATTGTATGGTTTCCTAAGGATGGAAACAGCATTTGTCGAGTTCACCAGTATTTCCACTAGAATATAGATTTGTTCTGATGGTTGGTGCAACTGATGCAATCCACTCACCAAGCAAGTTTGATTCCAAGCTTTCCGTGCAGGCATTTGGTGCTCGCCAAAGGGAAGCGTGCAGACAGCCTTCGAAATAGCCCAGAGTACTCAGAAGCGCTTCAAAGTTTCTTTGGGCAAAAAAAGCGAACCGACAATAGAGGGTGCTTACATTTCGTAATTCGATCAGATTGGAGCTGTTAAACATGGTAGTTGAATACTGCTTGGCTTAATTATGTACAGTTACATACTTGAAGGAAATGCAAGGAACCCTGAATCAGCCAGGGAAGCACAGATGCACCAGGGGCAATTGAATTTCGTTCCAATATTGTCCCAGAACACCTATGAACACTAGTGTGCCAGCTCACTAGCTAGACATATGTCTAACAGATCGCAAACGAACAATACATTTTGGATTAAGAATTAAGAAGGTGATTTTTCCTGACAGGTATATATCACCCGTCCATGGGCCCATGCATACAGCTTGTTTGTGAAACCATCAACTTGCAGGAGACATCCTGACCAGGGCAGAAGCGAGTTTTACTTGGCGCACTGCTGCCAAGGTGGGTCCGGCTGGGTCAAGGTGCTTTGAAGCGTTACTTAGGCGCTGATGTCAGAGTCAATTGGCCGAGATCTTTGACAAGAGCCCCGAACATATCGGATTGGGATCAAAACATAGTGTTTCTTTCGGATGTATGATATGATCCTAACGGTTCGGTTCACATACATTGACATCATTGACATCAGGTTTTGTGGAAAGCCAGCATGGCAGTCACAACGTGTCGCAACCATGTGGCTTGCAGCGGCTTGCAGGTTGTTCCTCCATCTCTGGGTTCAGGTGCAGCTTTCGGGTCCCAATCCTTCTGTGGAGACTCTCCCGGAGACTCTCCCGCCAGACTTTCCGAGTCGTCAGTAGCCTTTTTATGAGATATTGTTTGGTATTGTTTACTCATTGTTGGCTATGTATGCTACGTTTATTTTGATGTGTAACGTAGCCTTCTTGTTTTGGAGACACATACTTGGATATTTAGCTTCTTCCTGCCTTGGGAGAAACTGCTTAGGATGTATACTCGATTCCGTCAGTATGGTCTCAGTCTCATCTGTGTATCTCAAGCACAAGGTCGGCTTCGACGAGTCCTGCGGCAAGCAGTGCCTAGCCAAGTTTGTTCGAGCAGCGACAGAGGTGTTCACAAGGCAACAAGGTTGAAAAAGGCAATCTTGGGCGCGTGGATGGACGGTATTTAACTAATACTACACTGTAAATTCTGGTGTAAAAGAGGGGTTCAAGAATGGATAGCCAATTTTCATCAATTTTCAGTCATGGGTCCCCACACCCACTTTGGGGAGGGATTTCACAAGAACTGACCACATCACCACCATTCTCATCACAGATTGTTGTGACTTCATTGGATACTGTACTATCATTGTAGTCATGGTCAGATTGTCCACCTGCATTTCTGATACTCCTTGCTAAGACGTGTTGAACGGCACGGTCTTCTCGAAATTGTTCAGTATCTCACCCCTTATCAGCTGTCAAGGGGAGCCGTGGCTTTAGTAAATGCATCTCTGTGCAATTTGCAAAGAGTGATAATCATGTGTACAGTGCGTATATGCACCTGACTTTTCTTCATGTTTTGGCGCTGCTCCAGGTACATCTTGTCAGATCTGCTCGGCGACAAGAGCGTGCTGCAAAGGATGAAAAGAGTTGCTGCGCAATGGCTCCACGATTTTTCGCGTGCACAAAAATATGCGTTCAACTATTTATCTCCTGCTATCTCCATCTGCAAAGAGGTACTTCTTCAGATGGGCATAACGCCATTGACCTTTGATGGCTATGCGATCAAGAGCGTCAAGCTGTCGTCGTCTCAGGTTTGATCAGTAGGTGAACTGGGCTGGTCCAGTTGCCATGGTCTTCGGCTTTCTCTAAACCAAGCAGGGAGAAACCTTCTCAAAAGAATGCACTTGCAACAGACTTGGGCCTTCATATTCAGACGTCAGGGCAAGAAGAGCTTACCTTGTTTTGCTGAAGCATGTGCAATATCACGGCTTTCTCTCATGCACTTACTGAACTTTCATCCATGCACCCCAGCAGTTTTTTTTCGACTCAGACCCCAAGGCACTGTGTTGTATAAGACCTAACGCAGGAGTTTCATTTCCTCGAATTCTTCCTTGTGAGCATCCGAAAATGACTTTTCTAACTCGACTATTGAGTTGATAGCTTGACCCAGGTGGGGCTTATATTGCAGAGTCTTGCCGGCGAGTTGCTGCTCCACAAGGGGCACCATGATCCTGTCATCCAATCATCAGCCCATCCTGATCATCATGATATTGATTACCTCTGGTTTTATTTGGTGCTCAACACTTGCGGATCCATGATGCATTGGATGCCTCATGTTTCCTTTGTTTCCCGTTCTTTGGAACGTTCTTTGTGTTTTGATCCATGGAGATTGCCGCCAGGCATGTTTCCACTTCCACCGCGACTCCACCAAGGTGGGGTCTCATATGTTGGCAAAACGTTCGACTGACCTCGCATGACAAAGTGAAGAGGCTGAAGAGGCTGGCAGTAAGAGACACACATTTTTGATCATGTTTGCTCATGTGTGATAATTTTTGTCTCTTTGATATTCTTTGACTGTTCATTCGTGTCTTGGTTGTGATAGATCTGATAGGTGTTTTGCCCAAAGTGCGGCAATGACACGGTGGTTCGAGTGCCCATCATTGTGGACCAGGACCGCTGGCTAAAGATTTTTCTAAGGGGAGCCATTTGACCGGAGTTCCGTGCTGTGTTGGCCAGAACATAGCAACCTCACAATGTCAACTTTGCGAACGACAGAAACTCTTCAGTAAATTTATTAAAATATATGTATGACAAATATATGAGTGTCCAATAGTTTTCAGATGCCTCCCCTTCTTTTTCCTGAAATCGTTTGCTTTGCAACCCTTGACAGTATCAAGCAGCTAAAGAAGAGCTTCGTTGCCATGGCAGATGGCAAGACATCCAAATTCACGCCTGCAAGGATGGTGTGCCAACCGTCCTGAACCCTGGGAGGAAGTTGAGGACATGCAAGTGGTGTGAAACGTTTAGATGATGTAGAATCAATGTAGAATCAATGTAGAATCAATGTAGAATCAATGTAGAATCAATGTAGAATCAATGTAGAATCAATGTAGAATCAATGTAGAATCAATGTAGAATCGTTGAAATGCAGATGCACTGCCATCAAAGAACAGGCCAAGAACACACAGAATGCGCGCTGGAAATGCCACAATCTGACGGATCAAAGCTTTCCCAGCCAGGACCAAAGGAACTGTGTTCTCCATGCCCAAGCCACAGGGTGGCCGGATTTGGAAGCCGATCTTTGCCGAGGACAACATGCCAATAGTTGGGAGACCTTGGCATCTTAAGACCGGGAAGCACCAAATGCAACTATATACGTTTCAAAGCCAGGTCTGGATATTTTGTTCACGTGCTTATTTGTTGTAGAAGCCTCTGAACCATCTCCCACCCACTTTGAAGTTGCCTGCTTTCAAGGCCTTGATCGAAGTATCCAGTACTCAACCAATAATTTCATGGTGCTACCATGACAGACATTTGGTTCAATCGGTTTGATTTTTATGATGCCTCTATATTGGCTCAAGCTTTTTGCACAGCAATGCTCAATTGTTTGATTCTATAGGATTTCTTTTATTTTCAGGGAACATGGCTGTCTGCTATCATGATCTGCCAAGACACCTATATGATGGAATTACATCTCTTCATGGAGCATTTGGGACTATCCAAGCAGCTGTGATTGGCCAAGCTCTGCGCTGGATTTGGTGAAGTATATGATAATCTAAGCATTCTGTGAGCTAAGAGCTTCGAACTGGAGACAACGCTCGATCATGATTGAACAACCACTGTAGGTGTTTGCTTCAATTAAACTCCACAGCTCCTTGAGTTCGACTGAAGCCAACGATGTGCTTTCATGAAGACAAAAGGACACCAGATGACATCCTTGGTATGCCCCTCATGACATGGCAGTGGCGGATGCTCCAATTAGGTGAGGTATGGATGGTCCAGATCGGGACATACAGAAGTCTATGAATCTATGCATGGTCGTCCGGCTTGTTGTCTGAAGACCCACCTGTTGGTTTACTCTCTTGGCTGTCACTATCAAACACGAAGGTTGTGCCTGGAGGCAGTGGGTTCCTTCATGTTCCTTCTATTCATGCTGTCAGACATTGTAGGTCTGGCAGTAGCAGCATGTTGAAGGTGCTGAATTCTCCCTCTAAGCCCGGTAAAGATTTTAGCGCTTGACTTGTTTGCTTCTTGCGTTCAGTCATGCCACCATGGTTCAGGCTCATGACTTTCGCTGAAAGAAGCTGGTAGGGAAGATGGTGCTTTCAGAGGCGCCTGGTGTGCAGAGAACTTCCAGGACCAACAAATATAGTACAACCAGCTCTCCGGTAATGTCGGGTTTTGAAGCACTAGCCTGTCATGCATGCTCAAGCGGAAGGAGATGCCACAAGTCGAAGGAATTCACCACTCTTGCCACCAAAGAAACCATTGCAATTGAAACTGCTTTCCATACTGTAATTGACATCATTGTTTTTTTTCAGTTTGCTGTATGTTTTGATATTTGTTGTACGTCTTTATGGTGTGTTGATCTCAATGGCTGAGATTTTACTACGTATTCGCAGGGTGGTAGCCTCAGCAGCAGCCAACGGATTGTTGTCCGGGTGCTCAGCAGCATTTTGCAGATATCAACCGCCAAAGTCCCAAGATTTTCTCCAAAATGTTCTCCAGAATGGTGAACATGCCAAGAGTCAACAGCTACAATCCATTTGTTTAATTTGTTTATTTAAATTTATATAATTAAACTAAATTATAACTATTTGGAAATGTGGAAACAACAGCACACTATTGACAGACCTGGATACGGCGCGTCAGGCATTGGGAGGCGAACGCCGTGCCCCTAAGCAACTCTCTGAGGCCCTGGCTGAGTGGGAAGCTACAGATCAGCTGAAAAGCTGGCGATTTACGGCAAGACTATAGCCAAAATTCATCACAATTCCATGACAGAAGCAACATGAGCCGAAGTGATGATGCTACCCTTCTCTTGACACCTGAAAAAAAGGGAACTTCGAACACGTTTGGCTGGGGCGTGTAATAAGTAGACCAGGGATGACCCAGAGCATAGCTCCAAGAGACGTTTGAGAAGGCCTTGTATACTATAAAGAAGCCGTTTCAAACATTCTCAAAATTTCGAATCTCCAAACCATTCAACAAATCATTGCAAACTGCCACTGTTTATGACAAGGCAGGGGGCTCAATCCACCAGAATCCACCAATTTCAGTGAAGCAAATGCTTTGATGTGATGTCTGCAGGGCTGCCGATGGGTGGGTGGAGAGGCACTGCCGGGAAGATCGGGAAGTGGTTGGGCAGTGGGAAGCCCCTCCTTTCAGACCATGGCCTGCCAGGATGCCGAGATTGATGAGACCCTTGCGAGTTGCTTGGCAAGTGGCACAGCTTGGGATGGCCAATCATGATAACTTGCAGTTGGTGTCATTTCTATAAGTTTTCTAGGAGAATCTGGAGAAATGACATGTGCGCCAATGTGTTCTTTGTCAAGAAGATCCTTCTAAATAGTGAAATGCATCCGAAAAGGAAGCGCCATGCCAGAATTACTGGTTGCAAGATATCTGACAATCAGGATGTCACCACAAGAACCATGAGTTGTTACCATGGGGATTGTTTCTACTAAGACTATCTCAAAAATGGTGACAGGTTCCCTTTGCCTAGTAGTCACGAATTTCCGAACCTTTTGGCGAGGTGAATGCGCAGAAGGAACTGAGGGTGGAAAGGTCACAGATCTGTGAGAGACTTAAGTGATGAGGGGTACTGCCGAAAGAAATATGCAGCATTTGCCAGAGAAGTGAGAAGTACAATAAGTACAAGTTTGGTCACAATGATGTTCTTTGAGTTGAAGGTACTTTTCCTTGAGGTAAATTATACAACTGAATTGCCCGCCACATTAGGATGTTAATTCGAGCCTTTGCCAGGGATTCAGGATTGTTGTACCATGATGTACCTATTACCTGTGGCCCTGTGAAAAACTGCTGTGTGGCTAGCGGCTCAGGAATTTCCACTACAAGTTTTTGTCAGAGCCTCAAAGTTCTCAAAGTAGTACTCCATATGAGACATATAGACATAGAATTTTATATGATGTCAGAAAATGTTATATAATCACACGATATCAGATGATGTCACACATACAATATCCAGTGATATTGAAGTGTGTCTATTAATAGCGCAATTACATGTAATTACATCAAATACTAAGAATAGAGTATAATATGACATAATATGATATAATATGATATAATATGATATAATATGTATTAACATTGGTTAATGACCCAATGTCAGGGCCTCAACTTTGATGTGCTAGCCTGGCAAGGAGAAAGATCCAGGGTTTGGCAGAGTTCACAGCGAGTCTGCGGAGTTTGGACCTCTCCTCGTCCAGCTCTCAGGCTGTTTTTGTGATCGGAATCATGTTGGACCCACTTGCAGAAATGGTGAAGACATAGCTTATGTTCATTTATCCTCCATGATATTCCATGATATCCCCTTGTTTTTTCCCACAAAAGGAGATGGCCATCCCCCTATTTGCTGCGGTTCATAGGGCTAAATGAATGCTACATGTACCATTTAGATCTATTTCGCAGGATTCCCCTATTGCCATGTGGCCATCCAGGAACAATCTTCGAGTGATGGAGAATCTGGGTGCCATGCCGAAACTCCGTGAACTGAAGTTCGGGCTCTTGGAAGATTCGCAGTGATGTTCCAGTAGCAGATTGCATTTGATAGACCAGTTGCAAAAAGGAATTGAGAGGTGTGGAGCATGGAATCGGCAACTGCTTTTCATATCGCAGGGATTATAGAGTTTTGTTACATCTCAATTTTCTGCCAGACATCCCCAGGGTCAAGGGCCGGGATGGTTTTCCTTGTTCCGCAGCAAGGTTGGATGCCTGCCAGATTTCTCGTATCGAGGGCCTGGAGAAATGTCCAAGCAGGGGTGCTCGATTGTTCCTTCGATGGGTTTCTGGGAAAAACACCGTCGGTTGATGAACCCCTTCTCTTCCACGAGCCCTGGGGCCTGACTGCCAGGTTTGGTGAATCTTCATTTGGAAGACAACGAGATCGTTTGCGTGGAAGGCGTGGTGATGCGCCAAGAATTCAGCTGACTTTGACCTGCTCAATGCTTCACATAGTTTGCTGAGTCTTCAAACGGCTGTGCCGTGGAATCTTGCATTCCGCTCAAAGCCCATGTGTGAAGGAGGTACTTGTAGATTGCGTCCCAATACAAGAGTACTCAAGAGTTGACAGGCCAGACATGGCCAGACCAAACAATGATGCCATGAAATTGGAGGCTTGGAGAAGCTCTTTTCCCTGGAAACCTTGAACCTGGAGAGAAACAAGATACGAAGGCAAGGTCTTTGAGAAGGGACTGGGGCGATGCAGATAGGACCACACCTCTCTTGGACCAACGGTTGCACAGAGACTAGAGGACGTGTGGAGTATGTCTTTTGAAAAGATTAGTTCTCTGCTGCTAGTCATAGTCGTGGGGGAGACTATGGAAGACTACTCCTGTAAACGAAGGCGATATTTTTCAAATTTCTGTGGTGTGTTTTTTTCCCTCTCGGGCAACTGAAGAATCTGTGTCCCTTCAGGCTGTTGGCCAACTGTGTTGCTATTTTGTCATCGTGGCTGTTTTGTTCCAATCGATATCCTCAACTAAGCTACCCGGGCACCAGGCTCGGACGTGGCTGCGTGAAACTGACAAAACTAAAAGAGCCTGAGACCCCAGCGATGATCTACGACCCTAGACTCTACGAACTCATTGCAGCCTGCAATCTGGCAAGTCAGTTTAGATCAAATGCGAGGCCAAAGTGTTTTGTTGCCTAAGCGATTTTATAGCATGAGGTTTTGTTTTTTGCCGATCTCTTCTTTGCTCCTTTATTTAAATTTCATGGAGCAAGCGGTGACAGACCAATTTCAACAGTTCCTTTCTGAGGCTGCGTTTGGCCTACAACGAGCTGAGCACATTGGATGGTTTGCAGGGTCTTGGAGCTTTGGAGGTGGCGCAGCACTCATCCTGTCACCGATTTTCCGAATGTCACTGGATGTCACTGGTTTGAATTAGATGATGCTGCTTGATTTCTTTGGTCCTAATGATCCGAAAAAGTTCTGCAGCAACCCAAGTGATCCCAAGTGATTTATGCTGGTTTGAGATCCCTCGCCTCCAAGCTGTCTTGGATCCAGCATCCTGCTGCCTTTTGTGAAGAGGTGCTTGATGTGAGCCAGAACAAATTGGATGCGGTGAGCGCAGAGCATTTGAAAGGCGTTGGTGGAATACCTTGGAATGGTTTGTGGGTTGATCTCAGTGTGAATCTCACTTGGAATCAATTATGTCAGGGTTTAGACACCCTCAAGACTGAAAAAGCGAAACATGCATGTTCAAAAGAGCAATCACCAAACCAATGGCTTCAGAGATCCCCAAGTTTCCCTGCTGTTAATCTTTTGCTTTTTATGAAGTTTGTGGGAGCGTATTCTGAAGATTTTAGTGGCAGTAGGTTGGAAAAATACAAGTGGTGTTCTTTTTGTGGGGCGTCGTATTGAAGCTTTGGGAAGGCTGTAGGTTAGCAACATACAGGGCGCGAGGGCAGGAGAATGCTTGCTATTCCCAGGGCTTCAAAGGCCTCTGACTGTTTGCTGAGAGGTTTGATTGCAGATTCCCGACTGGCAGGTCTTGGGAAATTGGATGAGTTGCTTCTCTCAGGCGTGGGGGGGGGGAAATTGGATGAGTTGCTTCTCTCAGGCGTGCATGGTCTTGAGGATAATATCTCAACATGTTCACAGGTGGTGCAGCAAGGGCCGGTTTGATCGCGGAAGTTGCAGAAACTCAGAAAAAGCTTGGGCCTGGCGTCGTGGCATACAATTTCAAGATGCCACTCAGTGCAAGGGATTCGGGCTTAGACTTTTGGGCTCAACATTCGTCATAGCGTCTCTCAACACCGATACCGTTGTCAAGACAAGCTTTTTCTTGAACTGGTATATGCATGTATATGCAACGGTGTTTACAAGACACAATTTCAATGTGATACACCCTTACTTTACAGGTTGAGCTGCGACCAATTCGAAAGGAGACAGCAATGATGGTAAAATAATTTGAAGGATACAACATCGAGCACCTTGAAAAAGGATGGAAACGGCGTTTCTTAATCGGTTCTTTTTTTGCTCGCAAGCCAGGAAACCGCTTGTCAAACCTGAGCTTTTTGAGTGCTCCCGGTTGGGCCCCAAGTTGGACTAATTTTGAAATCTGAGCGGGCAATCTGGTGTTGGCGGTGTTGGCGTGGGACCAGACATTTGATGAATATGGACTCATGTTATTATGTACATGTCAGAGAAGATATGGGGATGGGTCAAAACCCTGGTACCTAGTGAACCCCAAAATAGTTGGTAAATGGACGTTCATCCCACTAAGAATGTATCTATAGGTATTGACCCATACCCATATTTGCATGTGCACTGCTTTTTTCCAGTCTTTGAGGCCGGCTCTCATCCTTGGACATCTCCGAGAATGGCCTGAAATCTCCAGCATTCAAAGGCCGTTCTGCCACCAGATATCAATGGCTGAAGCAAATCTTGGACCCTGGATCTTTGTGAGATGGTGCTACTTAGCGAAGCTATGTGGAGCTCATTGACTCATTGATTCAGTTGTTGTTTGTAGCATCGCTGGGGTGGCCATCCGACAGGTTTTCCAAGCCTTCCGCTGTTGTCAGAGTTCATGCTGGCTGGCAACTATTTGGAGGATATGCAACGATGCAAATGGTGGGAACACGGCTTGATCTTCCAGGCTTTACAAATTCCAACGAGTGGCACCACTCAGATTTAGGGTGATTTTGAGACGCAGAAGTGACACTACTTCGTTGTGGATTTTTGATGTTTGTAAAATGTAGGTTTTGAGGTGCTCAAGTTGCACCGGGGCAATCCAACCACTGAATTAGACCATGACTGCAGTCTGTTAGGAGCTGCCTCCAAATATCGTCACGTGTTCCTGAGCTGCATCTGGCTATGGGGTGGTGTCACTATGGGGGAAGCCCCAATTCGCAAACTTGTTTCATGTTGTGATTGGTCACCATTTTACGGCAGACACCAAGCTTGCATTGACTGGTGATTGTGCACTGATGTGTTGCGACTAAGCTCTCTGGACAATCATTTGTGGATTGAGCCCATTGCAGATGCTGCATGTTGGACTCCAGCTTCAGCTCTTCGCCACCTGTCAGAGGTTGTCCTACACTTGAGATTTTGGACATCTCCAGAAATTTGATCTCAACGCCTCTAGAGGTGCCACCTCACCATGGGTCAGCCAGCTTCAGCGCAGCTTCAGCCCTTTGCTACTTTTTGCTACCCAATGGGTTCATTGGTTGCAGGTGGAGAAGCTCAAATCTTTGTCCAGTCTCAAGGAGCTCTGCATACAGGACTTCGGGATACCAGGGAGGTTTTCTCACTGCTGTTTCATGTTCCGATCGAAAGTCAAGGCAAAAACAGTTAAAGGACCGGATAACCCCACATGTCAAGTCTTCCAATAAGTAGCAAAAGCAAGGTGAAGACGGGATGGGAAAGGCAGGAAAGAGAAAGGAGATGGTGGAAGACAGATCGAGTGAAGTTCTGTGTGAGAAGGTTGTGTGTGAGAAGGTTTATCCCATGTATTTGAAAAAAGTAGGAGTGAGTTCTGTGGAGATGGTGGAAGGCAGATTGTATGAAAGAGGTAGGTATGAGAGTTTCGTGTGAGAGAGTTGCGTTTGAGAAGGTTACGCGCACCGCAAGTTGTGTCTGAGAAAGTGTGTGTGAGTTGCGTAGAGATGGTGGAAGACAGATTGTGTGAAAGAGGTACGTATGAGAGAGCTGTGTGCGAGAGAGCTGTGGGGGTCAGTTGCGTGTGAGAGAGTTGTGTGTGTGTGTGAAAAGGTTGTGTGTGAGAGAGTTGTGTGTGTGTGTGTGTGGGAAAGTGTGTGTGAGTAGCGTGGAGATGGTGGAAGAGAGATTGTGCGAGAGAGAGTTGTGTGTGAGAGAGCCCCGTGCCATAAGTGCCACGCCTGCCACTCAAAGTGCACGCCGATGTCACCAAGTGCCACGCATGCCACACAAAGTGCAGGTCGATGTCACCAAGTGCCACGCCTGCCACACAAAGTGAAGCCTACATCTACATGTCACCAAGTGTCACGCCTGCCACACAAGGCGTCACCGGGAACCAAGCGCGCCACCAGAGGCAGCCAGCCCCGTGCCGTAAGTGCCACGCCTTTCATGCAGATTGCAGGTCGATGTCACCTGCCACACAAAGTGAAGGTCGGTGTCGCCAAGTGCCACGCCTGCCACACAAAGTGGAGCGGCGTCACCGGGAACCAAGCGCGCCACCAGAAGCCTACAGGTCACCAACCACACAAAATGGAGCGGCGTCACGGGGAACCAAGCGCGCCACCAGGGCCAGCCCAGTGCCAAAAGTGCCACGCGTGCCACACAACATGAGCATTGTTAGCGGGAAGCAAACGCACCACCAAAGCCAGCCGCGTGCCGTAAGTGCGCCACCAGAGCCAGCCCAGTGCCGTAAGTGCCACGCCTTTCATGCAGAGTGCAGGTCGATGTCACCAAGTGCCACGCGTGCCACACAAAGTGAAGGTCGATGTCGCCAAGTGCCACGCCTGCCACACAAAGTGGAGCGGCGTCACCGTGAACCAAGCGCGCCACTGGAGCGAGCCCGGTGCCGTACTTGCCACACTTTCCACACAAACTGAAGGTCGATGTCACCAAGTGCCACGCCTGCCACACAAAAGGAAGGTCGATGTCACCAAGTTCCACGCCAGCCACACAAAGTGAAGGTCGATGTCGCCAAGCGACGCCCGCCACACAAAGTGGAGCGGCGTCACCGGGAACCAACCGGGCCACCCGAGCCAGCCCAGTGCCATAAGCGCCGCCTGCCATGCAATGCACGTCGATGTCGCCAGGTGCGCGCCTGCCACACAAAGTGAAGGTCGGTGTCGCCAAGCCCCACGCCTGCCACACAAAGTGAAGGTCGATGTCGCCAGAGTAAGTTAAGTTGTGTGTGAGAGAGTTGTGTGTGAGCAAGTTGTGTGTGAGAGAAGTTGTGTGTGAGAGAGTTGTGTGAAAGAGTTGTGTGTGAGAGAGTTGTGTGTGTGAGTAAGTTGTGTGTGAGAGAGTTGTGTGTGAAAGAGTTGTGTGTGAGAGAGTTGCGTGTGAGTAAGTTGTGTGTGAGTAGGTTGTATGTGAGGGAGTTGTGTGTGAGCAAGTTGTGTGTGTGTGTAACATCTAAATAGATGTAAAACTTCTCTCTTTTTTCTTCCTTTGTCCTCTCCCTTTCTAAATCTAATTACAATGCAGGGGGACTGGAGCCGTTTTGCCTATCCAGTCCAACGAAGCTATGGCATTTCGGTGGATGAGTGGTCTGATCAACCACTTGTACCTGCAAAACTCAGTTTGAACTGTTGACCAAGCTGTTACACTGCGTTGTTTCGAATCTACACGGTTGCCACAATCTGTATTGCATGCATGTTTCAGGATTCAGTTCCTGCCGGATCATATAATGATCCATTCTTGTCTAGTGTGATTTCCATGGTGGCTCCGACATGGTGCCATGGAGCCAGTTGAGGCAACCCTTTTTAGGGTGAGTGATGACTGTCCTGACTGCCGAATTTACACATTTTAAGTTGGTAATTCATCTAAGTAAATTGCAACAGCCGGCCATACAGCTTTCCAGCTTTTTTGAGATGTCCTGCCGTTCCGGCTGTCCCTTGAGATCCTCGTGAATTGCTTTCTTCACAGAGAGAAGTCATGCGGAACAACCAGAAACGCTCTTTTTCGATCACTACAGCTCAAGCTTTGGAAGTGAAACATGCCCATGTGACGAGTTACAGGCAGGCACACGACTTTCAGGTGTGGTGATTCTTTCTTTTGATGGTTGTCTGGTGAGGTTAAACATTTTGTGCATCTAATTCGATGGAACTTGAAAGCTGTTTGATGCCATTGGGGCACGACTTGACCACGGGCCTGTTGTGGCACAATCGCACGAACAGTAGGTCTAGGAACTGGGTCCTGGTTTTAATTAATTGTTTTGGTTATTGTCTGGCATCAACTAGTTCCCCATTGGTCCCTAATCTTTCCCCGCGTGCCTCTCCGTAACGTGTCGTTGGGTTTAGGTGTGTGCGCTGTTTTTGTCAGGTCCGTTTCGCCGTGTAGGTTGGTTCTGGAGGTCCGTCTGTTCCCCTCCCCCCCTGCGCTGTTTTGGCCGTCTGCCCGTCGTGTGTCCGCTTTTTTCTTCCTCTTGCCTTTCAGGGTTGACCCGGCTCCGGCCGGGTGTGTGTGTGTAACATCTAAATAGATGTAAAACTTCTCTCTTTTTTCTTCCTTTGTCCTCTCCCTTTCTAAATCTAATTACAATGCAGGGGGACTGGAGCCGTTTTGCCTATCCAGTCCGACGAAGCTATGGCATTTCGGTGGATGAGTGGTCTGATCAACCACTTGTACCTGCAAAACTCAGTTTGAACTGTTGACCAAGCTGTTACACTGCGTTGTTTCGAATCTACACGGTTGCCACAATCTGTATTGCATGCATGTTTCAGGATTCAGTTCCTGCCGGATCATATAATGATCCATTCTTGTCTAGTGTGTGTGTGAGGATGCTGTGTGTGAGTAAGTTGTGTGTGTGAGAGTGTGTGTGTGTGTGAGAAAGTTGTGTGTGAAAGAGTTGTGCGTGAGAGAATTGTGTGAGTAAGTTGTGTGTGAGTAAGTTGTGTGTGAGGGAGTTGTGTGTGTGTGTGAGAGAGTTGGTTGTGAGGGAGTTGTGTGAGAGAGTTGGTTGTGTGTGATGAGAGGGCGGGAATGCACAACCAAAACCAAGAACCACACACACAAAGATGTGGGGAATAAATCGCTGGCAGGTGTTTGTTTTGGGCATTGTGTTCAAAAAAACGGACATATTTTCAAACCCTGGAGTACCTTGAATGTGATCATCAATATTTCCCTCCACATGTGTAAGCTGACTGGACACCAGTAGACTCCAATAATCCAGTTTTCTTTGCAGGGTTCAAACAAAGATAAAAACAAAGAGATTCCCGCTCTTGAACCCACCATCATGACCGATTACAAGTCCAGTGCCAGGGCAACCCGATGACAGAGTCCGACGATTTTCCGAAGGTTTGGTGCACAAACTCTGGTGGAGCGATGTTTTTCATGGGGTGTTTCAGGCAAAAAACATCACCGATGAAAACCGCGTAATTATCAGACATGTAATTGCACGACGTCGTTCCGGGTGGCACAGCACATGGTTTCGACCTCTTGTAGCCTCTTCAACGTCTTCAATCCAAATTTCATTTATCACCTGAAAAAAAAGTAGTAGCGACAGGAAGGATCAAGGCAAGGCAACATAGCTCTTGTCAGCTGCAGCAGTCTTGCCCAGATTGAGGCTTTATGCTCATTGGAAGGATTGGAGTACTTGGAGAACAGGACCTGGCCTTGGGATCACAATTGTTCAGCATTATCAGCAGTGCTACGTTTTCATAGTATCCGAGACAGCTCCCTGAGGCAAGATTGCAACATGTCATGGCCAGTCTACAGTGGCAGCTAAGCACTCGAATTTATTGAAGGTTCAGGTGCTTATATCCAGGTTTTCACTTAAAGCCCTAAAATTCCACCATGTTGCCATGTTGCACCTATTGATGTTTGTCAGCTGTCCATTTGAGCAACCTGGGGCCTTTCCATCAACAGTCGAAATTGCTTCTATTTTGTAACAGCAATATCTGGTTGTGAAGGAGGGGAACCGGTTGAGATTTGCCAAACGCTCAAAGCTTGAGAGGCAATTTGTTCCACCCAAAGAGATCATGCTGGAGGAGCAGATGGCGGAAATGGAACGAAGAGCAAACATTAATGCCAGTAGTTCATTCAGATTTCATTTAATTGTCAGAGACTGACAGTTTTTTGAATGTACGCATCAGTGGTAGGAACCGGTGAATTGCTGGAATTTGCTTTGGCAATACCTCAAGAGAAGTAAATCGCCCAAGAAATGTCTGGTGAACCAAAACTGTAAATATATGCAGGCTTTTTTGGGTTCCAAAATACACCCAGATGGTAAGTCAGTGAGTTTGGGTGTGGTGCATGGTTTGGGTTGCCATATTCACTCCTGGGGTCTTGCCGCACCTATCGAACCTATCGTTTCCCAGGACGGTGAACAGGGTGCTACCTTTGGCTTGACCAAGGTGGAGGCGTTGGCTTGTGACAATGGAGAAAGAACAATTAGACAGAGCGAGGTTATGAAGCCATAGCGAAAAAGCGTAGCGGAGGTGATGGTTTAGTTTAGTTGATGTGAGCCAATATTTGGCCAACATCCTGTAGAAGCCAGCAGGAAGGGCAATGTTCATGTCCACCTGCATCGAGTGACTCCTCTTCAGTCGCAACTTCTCGCATGATCCACCACAGGTTTTCCAATGAAAGCCATCCCCTGTGAGGCCAAATCAAGCCCTTCCAGACCAGGAACGGCCGGAGGTGCCATAGGATGACGATGGGATACGCTGGGACTCCACCGGAAGAACACAAGAAATCAAAAGAACTTGTGATTTGGTGACTATACATGACTTTACAATAGTTATATAATGTTATACTGTTATATATATATATAGTTTATACATGTTTATACATGTTTATACTGCTATACTGTCTATACTTGTACCTGGGATGATCCCCAATGGCCGCCCCAAAAATTACGGAAAGAGCCATTGAAGAAGCATGCAACGGCTGAGTTCAGAAAGTGGCGACAGGCGAGGTTTCCAGGGGCTGTGGACAGGGTGTTACCTGTTTTGAAGACTTCCAGCATATTTTACCCATGGCTAGCCCAGGTGAATCTTTCAGCCGTCCTGGTACAGCTAGTCGACCTGGCACGGCTTCCAAAGAGGCCAGCGACCTGGCTCCCGAGATAATAGGAGTGCTGGTCTTTTTGCGGTGCATTCGTATTTGGAGACCATCTAGACAACGTGCGTCACATGTTCCATTTGCTGTAGCACCTTAAGTCCTTAACTGGATTCTCTGAACTCTTGGATGGGCTTGCATTTGCAGGGGGTCCAGCAACCCTTGATGCATGCCTTGCCAAAGACACGCAAGTGCGCCAGTGGGGCCTCTCAGACTCTTCGGTTCTGCTTCAAGGGCAGGTCCAGAGTTGAAGTTGCCCACCTAGATTTTGGTTGGACTTTGTTGGTGAGACGGTTTCATCCATAAGAGTGAACTTATACCAGAAAATGGATGATGATTCAATATGATTCAAATTGATTCAATAACATTCCCATACATTTCCATACCAGACACCAGCAATTTTGTGGCTCCACTGGTACCCCAAGTTTGACCCATGGGGACCCAGTTGATTCCGCATTGCTTTGCAGCGAGGTTCTGAGCAGGTGACTGCCTGGGAGCAGCCTCTTGGCATCCAACTGGAGTGTAGCACCGAAGATGTTATGGGATGAATGGTTGAAGCCTCCCATGAAATCTTAAACATCAAGCCACAGATCCCACCAGCCACAGGATAACTTCAAATTCCAGATCTTTCAGATCTTCCAGCCTGCACCAGTGGAAGTTGTGGCATGGCGACAGCTGAGGCAGACACTTTGTAGCCTTAAAGCCATCATGAAGCAGGTCGAGAAGACCACCTCGCAGGTGCCGGTTCATAACTCTATTTTCAAGGATGAGATGGTTTCATTATTGTGTTTCAGACAAATCCTCAAAGCTGCCAAACATCAATCAATATTAGTTGACACGTGTTTGTTTGGTGTCCATTTGGTATTGTTCGTACCTGAATTTCGAGCCTCATTTGGGCAAAATAGGCCTCACCATTGGTCAGGTGGATCATGATCTGCAGGAGATGCAGGGAACCCAGGGTGCAGCGTGGGTGCAGCGTGCCAAACGTGGCTGGATTAGTTCGATGATTTTCCCAGCTACAAAGCTCGCATTTATAGGGGATTTCCCATTGCCACGTTTGATTGCCAGAGGGTAGACTCACACTTTAGCTTGCTGTCCACCAATAAGTTGAATTGTCGTGGCTCGGCCGGGTTTCGGAGATGTCTTGGTCACAACCCTGAGGCACAGATATGTCAAGAAGGCCAGAGATGCTAATCTGCGCTACGAGTACCAAGTGGGTTGTTGGAAACTTAGCATGGATCAGCAAGGTGTCTGGCAATGCACTTCTCAAAATATGAACAGAGGTCAGTTCAGAACCTGCCATTTGAGATTGAGCCCATGTAACAAGGTAACAAATCTATGCTTGCAGTGTAGATGACACGTGTGTGGCGATATGTGCATCTCCGCGTTTTTATAATTGAAATCACTTGCACGTTGCACAAGATTGGATTCTCCGAGGGCCTGAATTTCATGGGGCCTTCAGACACTGGACATAGGATGACATAGGATGGCATAGAAATTCACTGGATCTGTGGATTCATCCCATGCGAGGCATGGAAGCCGAATCCATTCCCGAAGAGGAGGACGCCACACATCGGTATGATTATGGCTATAGGTGAGGATTTGCTTGACATGGGTTCCGACAAACTAGTAAAACCATGGAGGTTTCCTGGGGTATCCCAATAGCTCGACGGTTTATCATTTTTTAACGGATCATCGGATCATCCCATTAAAATGGGTACCCCTCCCCCGTTTTAGGAAACCTCCATGTAACGCCCACTTTAGCCCAGGAGCTTTTGCGGAAGTACCAGGAGCCACCTCCACCGGGCCGGGCCAGTCAGAAGCTTCGGCAGGCGAGTTGCCAAGACGTTGATTGAAACCGCATGGTCTTGTGGCTCCTATCGTCCTAAGACTTGGCATAGCTTTGTGTGTATTAATTATCCTCAAGAATTTGACCAGCTTGAAGCTATTCCAACAACTAGTGTTTTTGAACATTAGCAGCATATCTGTTGCACTTTGCCAAGCGGTTTCTGCTGATGATTTTGCAAAGTATATAAGTAACGATGCGAATTCAGCTGAAACCTCGAACTCATTCGGCCTCATATTAAAAGCCTGACACACACACTTGCTCAGAACTGTCATTGCGAATTTTGATGTTGGAATGCATTGTTCGTGCAAAAACAGCAACAGTAGACCCGACATGAAAGAGAAGTGAGGACAGGATTTTAATCGCCGATGTCCAAGATGGGAAGTCCAAAATCTAGCACCCGTAATCGTTGTTGAAAAGAAGGATTTCAAAACGATGTACGAAAACAGCTTCAGATTGCGGCAGTGCGCAGAACATGTAATCCAAAGTCACAAGCAGTGATTGCAAAATTAACAACGAGTATCGATACGCCGGTTGTGGGCTTAGCCGGCTGCCATCGACGAGAAAATTGGAAACGTTTTGCAGGTACGTCAGCAGTCGTCCCTGGTGATATCCTGGATATATGAGGAGCTTCGTTGGGTGGAGCCAAATATGTCCTCTCCATCCCCCTGCTAAATTTACCAGGTACAAGTTTTACATCTACATATTCAGACGGCACGCGCAAACACGCACACACACACACAAACACAGCGTAGTTCTGCTGGCTCAGGAAAAAACATGTTGACGGGCATTTTGGAAGTGATATGCAGAATCGGACTGGAACCAGCATCAGATATGAACAGACTTTGTTGAAACTTTGTTGAATTTCCCAAAGCACAATCGTAGTGGCAGCGGCCTAGATTATCGAATCCACGTCTTATCCTCCAGTGGTTTAGCACACATGTCGGTGTTTGCGCTGATGCTGCACCATTTCACCTTGGAACTTGGCTTGTACCATGGTGTGGAAGAGTCCGTTGCTTGAGCGCCAGTATCTCGATGCCAACAGTAGCAGAACTCGCAGGGACGGACAAGGAGAAACAGGGTCCAGGATTTAAGAGTCTCGCAGAAGATGAGAAGCCGGAACCACCGAAGATCTCTTCCCACCTTTTCGTGGGTTTCCGCTTACTATTGCCCCTTGGCATGGTTGGAGTCCCGATACACATTTCTTGTGGTGTAGCGTTTGATAGAGAAACCAGTCAAAGTGGTTTTGTTTAAAACGGATAGACCATCATAGTCCCAGATGCATTCAAAAGCCAGGTCCAAGGTTGTTTACCTCGATTTCGATTGATTTTGAATTTGGAGTGAAAGTCTACGGAAAACACTGACCAACAGTGACCAACCACGACCAGACTGCAGATGGGCGTCTCAGATTTTGCTTTCTTCGAGCTGCTACCGTTTGAGCCAAGTGACCATAGAATGTTGGGATGCTGTGGACTTAAAGAATGGCATTACATGTCCTTGGCAGTGCTACCGTTTCGACGTCCGATATCATATTGATATCATTCCCAGCAGCCTCGAAGGATTTGGCTTCTTCACCTGGTGGATTTCTCCACTGATATATGGGTGGCAGTTATCCTGCAGGAAGAAGGTCGCAGCGTTCTGCTTCTTGCCAGAAACATTGGCTTCCATGCATTTTTGCGGCAATTGAGAAAGGTTGGGGAGATTCCCAATATCAACCATGGTTGAAACTGCAACTCTCGCAACATTTTTCGAAGTCTTTTGATCCATGGCCGCGCTTGGAGTCACTGTAAACGATTCCTTTGTGGCTGTCCCAACGCCAATCAGAGATGATCCATATGCCAGTCACTGCACAGAAAGAAAGGCCTGCGAGAGTCAGAGAGAGTACAGACCACATGTCCAGATCTCCTTGATGCCAAACGTCATGAAACCAAGGTTCACAGTTTCCGTGGTGTTCTTGGTGATACCAACTCTATTGCGTTGGATGCTTGCCAGCTTCAGCATGAATCCTTGCACGCCTGCAGCTTGGACCGCAATATATTGCTGGAGACGCCTCTGGTCTCACTTCGAATACACTTTTGAGACCTTAAGTCTGGTATAGCGGTTTTAAAGGGTTGATCCCAAGCTACCTATCAAATTACTATAAATGAGGATGTATTTCATACGATTTTCATATCCAGCATATTCTTGCATACCCAGGTACAGATGACAGTCACAGGGGCCCGTCTAAGATTTGGCATGTAAATACCGATGTGTGGGAAACATGCCCCATCATCAGCGGTTAGCTCCTTGGAACCTCCTGTCAAGGACTTCTTGTGCTTGCGAGATGAAAATCCACCGCTTTACCCCCAGCTGGCCTATGTACCCATCTTCGGCGAATTGGTTGCTTGGCATTCTACGATAATGTTGACTTCCCTGAGAAAAAATGTTTTTGCAGAGTCTTTTGTTCCCCACCTGCCAGGTGAGGGTTGTTAGATTTTATCAGAGTTGTTCTCCTCCTCCTCGGCTAGCTATCCTCCTGCTCCTCCTCCGCCAGCATCTCCTTCACCACCTCTGCCTCCACTTCCACGTGCACTGTTGCCTTGCCAACTCTTCGCCAAGCTCTTCGCCAACGTCCGAGCTCAGTGTGCACCGCTGGACCTCAACCTGGGACCTTCCCAGCTCAGTGGGCACCGCTGGACCTCAACCTGGGACCTTCCCAGCTCAGTGGGCACCGCTGGACCTCAACCTGGGACCTTCCCAGCTCAGTGTGCACCAGCTCAGTGTGCACCGCTGGACCTCAACCTGGGACCTTGCCAGCTCAGTGTGCACCGCTGGGCCTCAACGGCCAGATAGAATGCCAGAAGATATGCCAGATAGAATGTCAGATAGAATGCCAGAAGATATGCCAGATAAAATACCATGAGATATGCCAGATAGAATGCCAGAAGATATGCCAGATAAAAGCTTAGAAGATATGAAAGATAGAATGCCAGAAGGTATGCCAGATAGAATGCCAGATAAAATGTCAGATAGAATGCCAGAAGATATGCCAGATAAAGTGCCAGAATGTTTGCCAGATAGAATGCCAGAAGATTTGAGTAGATAATATGCCAGAAGATATGCCAGATAGAATGCCAGAAGATATGCCAGATAGAATGCCAGATAGAATGCCAGATAGAATGCCAGAAGATATGTCAGATAGAATGCCAGAAGATTTGCCAGCAACAAAATGTATAATTGTCATGGTGGGGGTCACACGAAGTAAAGTAATGGTTTTTTCTTTTGTCGGCTGTGAAGTGAAGTTGCAGCTGGGTGGTACAATATGTCATGAGATGTTGCATCTGGATGCATTTGGTTCCTATCCTTGATGGGTCAGTTTGTTTCTAGCACACAAGTTCATGTCAGCTTGCATGAAAGGCAGCATTCAGTTCTTCGATCAGTTTCTCCTTGTTTTTTGGTCAGAAATTTATCCTCAAACTTCATCAAAGTATATCAAAGCGGTCATTCGAATTTGTGCTACCATCTCGTGGAATCTCTCAAGCCTGCAAGGTGTTGATTGTGAACGCCATGGCTTGGCATCGGAAGTATGGAGATCGGACAGAGCTTAACATGGCACAGGAGCCGTATTTTGGAGCTGCCACTGTCAGGTCCATTGGACTCACGAATGGCTGGTCATATTGTTTGTTATTTTAGCACCAATGCGTTTTGTTTTGTTCCGTAGCCATTATAAATTCGAAACCTAAACTACTTGGCAGGGTCAAATAGTACAAGTAGGAAAGCGCACCCTGAGTTTGGAGCAAGTTTGTAAAACTGCGGCGTTGCCGGGGAAAAACGTGCTGCGATGCACCGGCAAGGAAGCATCAGATGTGACTGGAGCCACTGGGCATTGGTTTCAATTGGATGGATGCTTTTTGGAGAGCCAAAGAAATCGAACGAATTGACTTGGGGTATACCCCAAAAACGATTCCAACATATCCCAACATTTATGATGTCAGTATTATATAATATATCGTTGTACGGGCAGCTGCCGCCGCCATTGAGTCCTTGTTTGAGTCTGAGCTCAGATGCCACTCTTTGTGCCAAGTGTCATGGTCGACTGGACTGCCCCGAGGCTTTAATGTTCTTGCGTTTGCTGGAAGGAGCTTTTGAAGCCATGCCCCAAACCATTGTCCAGGGTATCGTCTTGTACGAGGATAGACCATGGCACAAAGCATCATGTTCGCAATATCTTGACGCTGTTGGACTGATGCGGAAGCTTTCACTTGAATGAGTTTTCCCCAGGCTAGGATCAGTAGCTTTCCTTGGTTCAGTAGGCACTTGAAGGTGCTAACCTGCTATCACCATATATCACCTTGCTTTCAATCGGTGAGGACTTGACCTCCAGCCACGTTCGCTTCATCCAATGGCAGTCCTTCATTGTGTCCTTCGTGGCCCTGGGCACAAGCTTCGCCAGCGTAGCAATGCATCGTCAGAGGGACAAGTGGAAGGACGATGCCTGTGACTCATGTGACTCATGTGGCATGGGCAACTCATGGGAGTTGTCACGAGTGTCTGAAGGATGTCGATCTCAAATCATTGGTGTATTTTTTTGGATGTGATGGACTTTCTGGGTGCCGAAACGTTTGGGATGACTTGTTTTTTCTCTATCTTGGCGTCAGAAAGACAAATCTTGCCTTTTAGTGATGATTTGACAGTTTTCAAAGTGAAGAAGTTTGATGATGAATAGATAGTTGGTAATTTTAACTTTACTGGAAGAACACCGCCAACCATTGAAATCATGTTGAGCTTAGCTAAATTACAATTCCTAGGGATTCTGCGGCATATTCATGATAAAAGTCACAGGATCTCCTGGGATTTCTTCGTTTTTTTTTGTTTTGCGAGGAAGAGACGAAACACAACAAGAAAAAGAAGAAGGTGGAGACCAGTTGCTCGGTCCACAGCGCAGCTGCAGCTTCCTCTTCTCAGTGTATATATGTAGCATTACAACAGCAGTAGCATTTCCAGTAGTACCGCACAAGGCGGTGGCGGAAGTTTCAAGGATAGGACACTATAGGAGAGGTGAGTTGTTGTGATGCATACGTTGGCAGAGCGAACCCACTGATGGACCGAAAGGTGGTTGGAGTTGTGTTTTTTTTTGGATGGTTGCAATGGTTGGTCACCTCACCCACAACTGCTGGATGTAGTGTGGTGTAGCGCAGTTGTAGTTGTAGTGTAGTGGAGTTGTAGTTAAAGTTTAGTGTAAGTAGTGTAGTGTAGTTGTAATTGCAGCTGCAGTTGTGGTGTGGTGTGGTGTGGTGAGTGTAGTGTAATGTAGTGTAGTTAGTGTACTGCAGTGTAGTGCACTGTAGTGTTGTGTGCTCTAGTGTAGTATAGTGTAGTTAAGTCTAGCGTAGTGTAGTGTGAAGTAGTGTACTTGTTGTTGTAGCTGTAGCTGTAGCTGTAGTGTAGTGTAATTAGTGTAGTGCAGTGTAAGGCAGTTGTCGGCGTAGTTGCAGGTGTAGTTGTAGTGTAGTGTTGTGTTTTGTAATGTACAGCAGCAGCAGCAGCAGGAGGAGGAGGAGTAGCAGTAGCAGTAGCAGTAGCAGTAGCAGTAGCAGTAGCAGTAGCAGTAGCAGTAGGAGTAGGAGTAGGAGTAGGAGTAGGAGTAGGAGTAGGAGTAGGAGTAGGAGTAGTAGTAGTAGGAGTAGGAGTAGTAGTAGTAGTAGTAGTAAAGTGCTCCGAACCCGTCAGTTTTTTACACTTTTGAATTCGAAACGCGCTTCGCGCCACAACGGCGTGCACTTTTTCGACATGTTAACTTCCAAAAGTGGTCCGACACTGGTGTGTTTTGTAGATTGTGACTTCGAAATGTGCTTCACGCCACAACGGCGTGCACTTTTGCGACAACTCAACTTCCAAAAGTGATCCGAACATGATGTGCTTTGTACATTTTGACTTGGAAATGTGCTTCGCGCCACAACGGCATGCAATCTTTCATCTCTCATCTGCGCAGGTGGCTCCGCACGCGCCGCTTTAGCGAGCCTTCTTTTCGACCCTAGTGTTTCGCCACTTTTCTACCTTTTCGCGCGCCTGCATCTTCTTTCTTCTGAATGTCTCTCTTCTCTGATCTTCTCTGATCTTCTTTCGTCTTCTCTGATTTTCTCTTCTCTTCTCTTCTCTTCCCTTCACTTCTCTGCCCTGCTCTTCTCTTGTCTTATCTTCTCTGACTCTTCCCACCTCTGCTTTTCATCTGTCCACGTTGTCGGAAGTTTGACTTCTAAACTTCTCTCAATAATTTTTACCATATAAAGCCTTAAGCCTTAAACCGTACGATAACACATGATAACAACACACATCAAACTCATTCGTCTCTTTCTATATTTGCCATTATTTGCCTATATCCAACCATATCAAACCTATCTGTCGCGGTTGACCGGTTGATGAGGTTGGGAGGTGATCAAAGGCTTTTGCCTCATGCTCTTCTTGGGAGTGGCGTCCCGGTTGCAGCGATAGGTCAAATGTCACATGCATCATCTTCAGGATCAGTTGATGTTGTTTGGTGATGTTTGCTGTACATCGTGTTGCCTCTTTTTCATACCTTTTCCTTTTTCTATCTGATCGTTTTTGTCCGTGCCAATGTCACATTTGCGCAGGACAGTTTTCTGCGAATGAACTCCATCGCTTCTGTGCTTTACAGTCCTTATGCTATTTGGTTTCCTCTTTACATCGCGGTGGCCTACGCTGGTTTGCCTTTGCTCGTCGCAGCTTGTTAGTTGAACCGTTGTAGCAACATCGATTGCAGCCACGAAACCAATTTTTATTTGAACTCATCAGCACTATTCGCACTATTCCGCACTAGTACCTTGCAACTTCAAAAATTTTCCCAATGTACTGTGGATTGATGTAAATGTTGATTTCTGTGAGAATTTGATGCTTCAGACTACTGCATAGTGGTTGGCTTGATCGCCAAGCACTGCTCAGTCGTAAGTTTTTCCAGATCTAGATGGGAAGCTTGGATGACCCCAGGTACAAGCAGTCTGCCGTAGGCATCCTATTGAAGGCAAACACATATTTCACAACAGCATGACCTTCAGCAATCTTCAACAGAGCTGGTAGGCGGCTCAGGTGACAGGGACCATGATCTTCGTGAACTGCTGCGACAAGGAGCAGCAGGGCCAGGTTTCTTGCTGTGGGCACCTGGCCATCCTTGGGAAACCCGCCGAAGTTGAGGGGTTCGTGGGGTCTTTCCGAGTCGATGAAGTTAGTTTCTTTTTGAATTCTTGTGGTATGGACATACCATGGACCTTGCAGATTCTAGCTATGAACCAGCTGTTTCATCCGTGCACTACTTCACTTTGTTTCCCTCATGCAGAATCAATGCCTGCAGTTTTTCATAGTTTTTCTGCGCAGACAAGGCTGTCTTACGGGTTATTTACGGGTGCAGCCGCATGGCGTGGAACGAATATAGCTGGTCCTAAGGATCATGTACTGTGGCACCCTGCTGATGTCAAGCCTGGCTTTCCTCATACCTCTAGATTTGGTGACACTTGGCTATTCAACAGATCTGTGGGGTTTTGCAGAGCTGGGGAAGCCAAAGTCTGAAATTACTCCAGTGATGGTTAAAGGAGTCTACAGTATGTAACAGCAACCTGCTTTGATGATTAAGTTTCAAATTTCAGGTCAAAGTTGCGTCTAGTTCAGGCCTCAAGTGATTTGCAGAGACGAATTCTTGATTTATCCTTCGACTATCCCGTGATGAGCCCCAGTGATGCATCCAGAACGGATCGTTGGAAACAGGACATTTGGATTCATTGGACATGGCAATTCTACTTCTTAATTCCAGGATCAACAAAAACATGAAGACATGGCGTTGTTTCCTTTATCGCAAAAAAGGGCGAAAATATGCGAAAATCATTGCATCCAAAAGCATCCAAAAGCCAGAGCTGAGGATGTGCTGGAGCTTTCCCCCGTTTTCTATTCTGCGACTCTTCGAACACCTTGCCATGGCTGTCTTGAGTTTTTGGGTCGCCGCACCCTTGACCTGGGTGGCTGGGATGGAAGTTCTGTAGAGCCATGGTAGATCAGAAGATATCCGAAGCATGAGATTGTTTGCTTCCATATTTCTTGTTTCTTCAGCCTCTGCTGGGGCTTAGTCGTGGCTGCTTCTTCAACCCAACAACGTGTTCTACTATTGATTCGGGGGCATCAAGGCATCGTTTGGGTTTGTATTGCCTTTCTCTTTTTGCGAAAAAAAACAGTAGACTTTGCGGCGGAGTCATGCGGCCTTGTTTCGGCAGTGACAACCATGCATGCTCTGAGGTACCTTTGGCATTGTGGTTTGCACCCTGGCATGATCGGATAGCACGCTAGTGCAGATTCGCTCCTTCCTTTCTCTGACAGCTGCATTGGAACCCATTGTAAATTGGACCGGTTGGGTTTGGGATGTAGATTCCGCACTTCATCGACAATTGTTCAGTCTCAAACCATGTTGTTTTCATGGCAAAGAGCTATGCAAGCCTTTATGCAGACCTTACTATGCTGTGCCACGTCATATGCATCGAAGAAACACATTTGATGCATGAAAGAACCACATCTTATGCATGGAAGGAAGAAACACATCTAAGACAGACATTAAACATCTCAAGATCTCAACTAACACATTTGACGTAGCGTTCAGTTTCACATTCGCTACACTATTATGTTCCATCAATTTGTTTCCCGTTCTGAGTTGAGGTATCTGCTGTTGTAATGATCCCCGCTCGGATGATGCTCGAACTGCCCTGCTTCTTTGTCTGAGAATGACGGTGTGGAGTGGGTTCAACAGTTCCAAAGCTCTCAAACACGGACAGATGATATGAACATGATTGAACATGTAATTTAACGTAGTTTAATATACAGAGGCCCTTTTCTGATTCGATACGATTGGCGCTTCATGAATCATGGTGTTTCATCGCCCTGGGATGTAGTTGAACTTCTGCAGTTGTCAGAAGAACAACGAAAGACATAAATGAGGGAAACAACTTTTTTTTTCAACAGAGTATTGCTTCTAGATTTTTCCTTGTAGTGCAACCAATATGCCAGTCGCCGTATCAAACGTCTTCACAGTTGCACTTGTTTGTCCCGATTGGGTCCCAGCCTGTGGAAATTTCCCACGTCCACAGCCACCGCATTTGGCGAGATGCCCAGGTGGTGAAGAGGTCTTCGGCAAGTTCATCCCCAAGATCCGTTGGCGAAGAAACCTCCCACGTGTACATCCCGAGGACTCCCAGCAGGTGGCTGGAGTATCTGCAAGGGTCATGCAGTTGCTATTTGTAAAGCATATTGGACTATAACTGGACTATATAGGTAATTACTTGATATTACTTGGAATATTTTTGAATCTTTGAAAGATATCTTTTATATTCTTATGGCTACTATGGGTCCTTTGAACTTTGGACATGTTTTAGTTTGTGTAAAATGCAGCAACTTCATGGTATTGACAACAAAGCACACATGAAACCTTGGGCTGTTTCCAAGTTCAAACTGAGCTCGCTTTATTGCTGAAAACCAGCTGAGTCTGGCGTTTCTTTTGGCTGCAAGGCAGAGGAAGCTGAGATTGCAACGTCCAGTGCCTCGGCTCCGGCCAAGAGTGATGTGAAACAATGGATTTGGTGAAAAACTGTTTGGTGAACTTGGATTCTCACTGAAATTCACTGAAACATGGTGAAAACCATGTTTCACCATGTTTCACTTTTGATCACTTTGATTGATATATTTTGATCTTACAATCCGATGAGTCGAAGAAGATCCAAGAAGTGTGCAGAAAAGTGTGGAGTGCTTCGCTTCTCCTAGCGGCTAGAAATTAGCCGTGTAATGGTTCATGTGTTGGGTTGCGGGAGTACAAGGCTGGAAGATGAAGGTGCGAGAGTTTCTCGGCAGTCATTGAAGATCACTGAAGTACATCCTGAATCATCTTCAGTGGTAGATTTGGCAGATCCACCACTGATTGGGACGATGTAAAGCAGCTTAAAAATCCTACCAAGGCTGAGCTATCGAGGCTTTACAATCGCTCGCTTGTTGGATTTCTGCGAAGTGCTAGGCAAGACTACGGGTTGGGCCATGAACTTGAGGCCTTTGAGGTTTGGAGATGAGGTTCCAAACTCTGAAACCCTGCATGAATTTCCATTCTTTTCCAATGTCCCAGAGAACATTCGCGTGATTGAGCAGTATTGTGCAATCAAGACTCCACAGGCTCTACACAAGTGATGCCTCACTTCGACGCAACAAAGATGCCTGGCCCGTCGTAGAGACTACCTCTAACTTGGAAACAGGATGGCAACCCTGAGTGCTGGATCAGTTGGGAAGATTTGAAGGGTGTTGAGGTTGTTGATAGGCAAGATATATTTGTAAAAGGAGGCAGGGTTGATCAGCACAGGAGCCCTGCAAACTTTCGAAGTAGTAGATGCAGGCAGCCATCCTTATGGTTGATTTTGCCCAGTCATAGGTATGTCATGGTCTTTTTTTCAGGCGCTATGACAGGCGGCAGAAAAAGCTGAGGACCACCACGAATGATGTGGTGCGACAGGTCATCATTCCTTGGAGTCGACTGGATGGCGGCTGGGAAGACTTGAAGAATGGTATCTTGTCATAGCGAAGGTCATAGGTCAAGACGAGTTCTGAAACGGAAGACGTGGTTGAGACGTGGTTGAGACATGTTGAGACATGTTGAAACATGCCAGACTTGGCACTTGCATCTTGACATATGTTGACCCCGTCAACCAAGATTTTCTGACATGGGCATCGAACCTCGAACTGCCTGGTTGACCCATCAAAGATTCCAAGGTTTGCAATCAGGCAAATTTTGGTTGTACAATTCGAAGATTTTGGTTATAAAATGTTATAAATAATTCACATATTCTTCAGATTTTAAATATTCTATCAAATTTTGTAATTTGTTTGTTCTGATTGCCATTGATTGCTGAAGCGGTCAGATCCACACTTTCCTTTGCGAATCGCAGTTGGTCGGCCAGCAATCCCTGAGGTCATGGGCAGCTTAGAAGTGAAGGTCGTGCCATGGTCGGCTGTATGGAAGCTACTCGACAACAGGTGCCCTGGGGTTTCTGCAAGTTTTCTTTGGGGGACATATTTAGACAATTACCAACAATTGCCATGTTTGCAAGTGCCAAAAAGATCCAAAACGTGGTCATGATGATTTCTTTCATTCTCAATGCATATGTTCTCATTCTTTCACATCTACTCACAGTTCATAGTTTGGGTCTCACAACTTCAGCCATGTTACCGTTGCCCCTGCAGCCGTCCATCATGGTGACGCACAACTGGGACAACCTCTTCTCTCACTTGGCTGCTTCGACTCTTGGACCCATCGTTTGTTTCAGAGTTCAGCCCCCAGAGTTGGCTGGGTAAGAACAGAAACCAAGCACGAGTTTTTTGGAAAGGAGTACTGGACTTGCCATGTGGAGGCATGGAGGCAAACCCGACTTCGAACCACAAATCCGAGTTTGTGTATAGCGAGCTCAACATCTTCCTTCACAATCATCAGATGTTCCGTGGTTTTCCTGCACAATCCCCCAAACCACACTGCTACATAGGTACAGGATAGCCTACTGTAAGCATTTTCATTTGCGTCTGCCAGCATCACAAGATGTCACACACACACACAAGAAATGGAATGAGCAACGTGCGCATTGTAGATGGTGGTAACATGTGGTTTACCCTTTTTTAACCAGGACCTTGGCAAGCGCCCTGAACTTCTTCACCTTTGACAATGTCTTGAAAATGTTGGCCACTCCAACAGGGATTCAGGAGATCCGGCCCACGAAGCAGAAGATTCAGTGCACACGTGGCACCCACCTCCTACGTTGTGGATATTGTGGTATCATTCCAATGGCATCGGCCAGAGCTGGCTCAATTCACCAAGTGATTCCAAAGAATGCTGGTTGAGAAGTGTTTGAAGCAGGTCACACTTGTTTTGAACAGGGGCTAGTTGCAATCAAATCTACCTGCAAGACCTGGTGGTAGCCTGTTGTTTGTACTGCGGATGCCATCGACATCACATCCACCAGGAGTTGAGACGCTATTGCTACTCTTCAGGACCAGACACTTGCGGATCGTGGAGCGCTGGCCATGTGTGAGGTTTATAAGAGGCTGTTTTCAAATATGCGGCAAATATGACATGAGGTTGGTGATTGATGGTGATTGGAAATCATGGATCGTCTTTTTTTTTTATTAAAAAAAATTGCTTTCGGGGTGAATTTCGATGTGACGATGTCACCCATCAGGTTTGACTGTGATATGACGACTGACGAACCAACCATGCTAATTGATCCTTCTATAGACTTCCAAGGAGGGAACGAAATGAAGACATGCTTGTCTACGCAAATGATTTGTTTCCTGTTCTTTTGAGCCCTTTTGAAACTTATGGGGAAAGTTGACTGTAACGGATTCAGAAGTAATGCCCGCAAGATGACAACTCCCATCCTCCCTCATTATCTGTTCCTTTGAATCCTTGGAACTTTACCTTTGCCCTCTTCCAGGATGTTTGCGGTCGACGGTCTGGATTTGCTCTTTCTCTATCAATCAGCATGCAAGCATTTGCGCCGGCTTTGGAGCACCTCCTGAAGACCCCGAGGCTTTTGCAAAGTTTGAAGCTTGGACCCATTGGATATGGATGGATATGGCAGATCTTCTGCAAATCTCATAGCAATATCTTGCACCTCCATTTCTTCATGTCAAGATATTGAAGAAATTGAAGATGAGTTTGCCAGCGTTTGAACTCATGGTCATGTTATGTAATGCAAAAATGCAAAACAATCAAATTGATGAATGGAGATGTGTCCGCAGCAGTCACCACATCCTGTTTTGTAAAGGACGCAAAGCGCCGTGACTCTGTCACCAAGAAGATCTACCGCACATGCACCTGCGAACCTTGGCCATGGAATGTTGGTGGCTGCAAGTGCGGGTAGTCCGATGTTGCAGGTTTTTTTTGCCATCGATATCTTCCAACGCCAAATTGCAGTAGTTTGTTCTCCTAATTTGATGACATGACATACTGGTAATTAATGTAATAATATACAGCAATGCAATGCCTGCAAAACAGAAACAAATGCGATTTCACGCATTTATTTGTTCGAGTGCATTTTCTCCAAATGAGCGCAATTGCACCACTCTAGGCATTTTTACACCTTTGTGCGCTTTGAAGCGAAAGTTTTGAAGGTATTTGCACAATAAATTGGCTGTAATTAGCATAGCTAACCTGTAGAAAAAGCGTAAATACCTTTCTGCCAGGGTGTAACTGTGCACTTTTTTGTTCGCCGGAGCCGAAACAAGAATGAGCATAACTCCAATCAAATAAATGCTAAAACATGCTACGAGCAGAGTACAGTATATACTATATACAAATACATTACACATACATTATTAGTATACTTAACTTAGGTGTATATATAATATATGTATACATACACATTTATGAGTTTATGAGCACATACAGGGATGTAGACCATCATGATTGATGGATCTGTTTAATCAAATTCAGATTTGTGCTCTTGCGTAGCCATACAATATTTCCAGATACTGCTGGACAAAGCGGAAGTCCAAACACAGCTCAGCTCTTCAGTCTGGATGTGCCTAGAGACAAAGAAACGTTAGTGAATGATGTGGGATGATGTGGGTGTCATTTCAGGAAACCACGAAATACTTCAACGATGCTCGCGACCTGTGCGAGTTGAACAAGTTTGATGCCATGATGCATGATCTCAGCCAGCATCTTGGCTTTTGGATCCTGGTCGTTGAGCATTGATAGATATTGAATGATATTGATATATAATACTATATATATATATTTGATGATATATATTGATACTTATTGATAGACTAACCTTTCCTAACCTTTCCTAACCTTGCAGGGACCCACTAACGGCTGTTCCGAATCAAAATGATCCTGGCGACCGTCCCAGGTCCAGTGCAAAGTTCCGCCAGGCCGTTGCTGTGGACGTTTCATTGCACCTTGGCAAATCCCAAAGCGCGGACGTTGGTTGATTCGACATGCGTTTCCCATTGCCAGCCTCGAAATTCGTAGAGGTGTGTAGAGATGGGTTCAATATGGTTCAATCCCCAATTTTTTTGGTTAGTTAGTTGCATTTAGTTGCAGATTTGCTGAGTTACATTTAGTTATCCCCAACTTCAGTTGCATTTAATTACTCTGGGTTTCCCCATAAATCAATAAGGATTTACAATAACCAATGAATGGATTGGGACATTTCAGCATTTCATGGCACTTCAGAAAAAAAAAACAACCACCAGCCATTTTATATCATTTTTTTTGGGATTTCTATGGATTTCTGGGATCCTTAGCTTGCCAACTCACCATGATGTTCCATTCATTCAGGCAGCTCTTTGTTGGTTTTCCATCCGAAATTGTGTTGCTCCAACTCCTGTCACAGCTCGCAGAAGTGTTTTGCAAGGCTGTCCTGCAAGCCCCGCATTGCTTAATGGCCTCATGACAGTTTGGGTCAATGCCATAAAAGTGCGAGTCCCTTCAGTTCGACTTGCAGTTTATTTAGATGATAGAACAATTTGGGCAACCGATCGCATGGCTGCTGCAAACGTGCATGAAGCCATGTTGTGTGTCCAGAGTCTTGACGAAGCGCTAGGCTTTGCGCTCCACCCAGACAAGCTTGAAAGTTTTGCCCTGAAAGCCGGGGACCGCCAATATCTTAATGATCGTGCCCTCACAGTTGGGCCTGCCAAAGTTTCATTCAAACTTCTAGGAATTCAATATTTCGTTGGTTCTCATTTCAAATGCCACAAAGATCACAAGTTGCATAAGACCCTCGTTTCCAGGTGCAGAAAGATCCGTATGGTCACACGCAACTTGAACATGCGTCGTCAGCTTGTCCACATTCTTGTTGTGGCCATGCTCAGGTGGATGGGTCCTTGACAAAGATTTCACAAAGGTACGCTTAAGGGTTGGGCCAGGGCCATCGAAACTGCCATTTGGGGGTATGGCACACCTCCTGGTCGCTCCGGTTATTTGTTCTGGACCGCCATCGCTGGACTTCGCTGTCATCTTGAATGTGCTCTCTCCACTGAAGCCATCATGTATGAATGGAGACGCCAGGTGAATCTTTTTCTTGGGAAATGTACAGTGACGCGCGCCTCGCCGCGAGCGATTGACACTTTCAATTTACTCAATTGGAAAAATTTGCAGAATGATGTTTGGCAAACTCCTTTTGGCCAAATTCGTGTTGGTTGGATTTCAGACTCTGATTTGGCCAAGCTTGTGCGACTTTCCTGGACCAGAGTCCTCTTCCAGTCTGACACTAAAACACAGGAACACTTGCCAGACCACCTCAATCCATACTTTGGTTTTCATAATGCTATGATCAAAGAATGTGGTGAGCGATATAAAATGACTGTTCTCATGGCCGCCGCCTCTGATGGACGCATTTTGGAAAGAATGGGTGCGCCTGAAGTGTGCGCTTGTGGCATCAATTCTCCCGACCGCGAGCATCTCACCTTTCACTGCAATGCTGATACCGCTGAGAAGCCTGTACTTAAGACTCACAATGAAACTCGGCTGTTGCAGCCGTTAGTCCCTTTGCCAAACACTCCAATCATTTCCGCATTAACTGCTAATGTTGAGTTGGTTCAGTGCTTACGACAGTTGTACGCTGTCGACCATTCTCCTGTCGTCTTGGCCTTGGATGGCAGCTGTTTGGTCAACCCTGGCAATGATTTATACCAATGGGCATCCTGGGGGATTGTCACCTCCACGAAGCTTTCATTCAACGGACTTTTGACTGGCTGTGTTCACACCCCGGCTGCTGCCGAGCGTGAAGCTCTGGTGCAAGCCATGCTGGCTGCACATTCTGCAGCTGTGCCTGTGCGTTTGCTCATCGACAATGAGGCAATTGTCAAGCGCCTCCTCCGAGGATTGCGTTTTGGCAACTGGAACGGCGATGCTGCCGGTTTCTGGTCCTATATCGCCATGCTTGCCACTCATGGTGTGGAAGTGATGTGGGTACCTTCCCATGACAAAAAGCCCTTGTGGACACCTGTGCTTGACTGGAACCTTTCCGCTCAAGAGTGCAGAACGTTGAACGAGTTGGCTGACCTTGCGGCCGCTCAAATAACCGACGCCAAGCGAGATGATTTTGTTTTTTGCAAGAACATTCTCACTGATGCTCACCTGTGGGCTGCCTCTGTCTTTCTTAGACAGTGGAAGACTACTCGACCTTTTCATAATTCTGTCATTGCACTGCAGAAAGCGAAGCATCGATTTCCAGTGCCATCCTGAAGCTTGACTTCTGACTGCCTGAGCTTTTCGGCTCCCCTGTGTTTTCACTTATTTATTTGCTAGAGCCTCTGTGGCTCTCATGGCTACTTAACAACAGCTTCGGCTGGCAGGTTGTATGTCTCAATTCATTCATTCATTCAATTCAGGCAGCTCTTTAGCCGTGCCTGGTGTGTAGCAGAGCTGGTGGAAGCAAGACGCTTGGGGCTGCAACAGCAGTTGGTGGAGCCTCGGTGCGGTGATTGGAGGTGTGGCTGGAGATGTTTTTTTTGGCGTCTATAATCTAAGCAATAATATATAGATATAATAATAATAATAATAGATATAATAATATATTTAATATATATATATATAATAATAATATTATATATGTAATGATCTATCCAGATATATTTTTTGTTTTCATATTTTCTATAACCGTAAAATGCTGGTATTTTTCATATTATTTTTATAGTTTTTTCAATAATATTTTTTGATCCAGACATGTTTTTTTTGAGAGCGGACTACCGTGGGGGGTGGAGTGGTGAAAGTATTGATTTTGCAGTTTTTTTTGAGATATGGAAATGGTTTGCACATGAAACCACAAATCACGACTGTCCAGAATACTACATTTTCTGCAGAGATGTTGTCTCTTTCCAAAAACGCTTTATTTTTTGCTTAGCATTTTGGAAAATAAAACGTGTCTATATACAATGTTTTTGATGCCTGCAATGAATTCTGTATTATTGTTGTACATATTACTATACCATATGTACACACATATATATATATATACATATTTACACACACACACACTTTGACAAATTTATCATTTTTTTCACAAAAAATTATGTTTCTCGAAAATATGTATTTGATATTGAACATACATGAGTGCAATTTCCAGCTGCAAATTCTGCATTTTCTGAAACGTGTTCTGCATCCTTTCATGCTGTTCATGAGTGCTTTTCAAAAAAAAACATGTCAAGATTGAACATGCACTTCTTCAAAAGATGGTTTAACTACGATTGAATCTGGACCTTTTCCAGGCATCATCTATATTTTGCCTTAAAAGCGCTGCCTTGTTGAATAAAAAGTAGCACACTTGCAGGGAATCAATACACTTTGTACATGAAAGCGCAACTGAAACTTGAGAAATGCACTTCCTGAAAAGATTGCTGTATCTTGAACATTTTTTTGAGAAGATCATGCATCTTGAAAACAACTCTGCTTTCTGCAGTGAATTGTGTACTGTACCTTTGTGAAAATGAAAAAAATACAAGCACAGGTTTGAAAGATTTATTGCATGCTCTGCACGATTTCTGCCCCTTTCAAAGGAGATAATGGGCTGTAGGCACACTTCCTGCTAGGTGTATTGCATCCTTGAATGGCGTGTTGCTCATTTTTGTAGGAGTGATGTCTGACTAGTGGGAGGAGGAAGGATTCGCGTTGAACATATTGTATATTTCAACCATACATGTTGTTTGAAAGACTATATAGTACTTCTTAGACTAGTGATTTTCAAGATATAATGCATGACTACAAGAATGTTGTTTCTTTCAACATCTTTCAACATATTACATTGTACAATGCAAAATTCAACCTTTTAAATTTAAAATGAACATGTATGTTTAAAGGAATACCAACATTTCTTCAAGAAATGCTGTATCTGTGGCATGCAAGAGTTGCCAAGAAGAATAATGTGGCATTCTACAAAATAGTATCTGCTTCTTCCGAAGGAAAACAGCATTCTTCTTAGAGGAATCTGGTCGTGAGGGATACAATATTGGCTTTTTGAAGGAGCAAACACTTTGAGATAAAAATGTTTTTTGTACAACAAAGTGTTGCTTAAACAAACCATTATTGAAAAATAAATGTTTTATGTTAGATATCACTTTTAGTGATTCCAGGTTTGAAGAACACGAGCCAAACCTCTAAACATGAGGAACCAAAACCTCGGCATACCAATAAAACATCAGTCCAATGGAGTGCCTGAAGAGGTGGGTGATAGAGTCGAGCTGTTTTTACCGTGCATTTTCTCTGATGGCTCAGTAGCCAAAATCAGCAACTCAATGAAGACATCAATATAAAATGTGGAGGGGTGAAAGCTGTGCCAATGGATGTTTGTCAGGGTGAAAATTTCTCCCAGGAACCCAAGGAACAGGAAAACAAAAAACACAAAAAAAGAGCAACTGATATTGTTTGGACTGACACAGTTGCAACAACCTCGAGAAAACCAAAAAAAAAAAAAAAGTTTCGACCCATGGAGACGGTCTGAGGGGAAGCTGGACAGGTGACATGGGGTGAAACTTTTTTTTTTGTTTTTCCATAGGTTTTGGTGCATTTTTGGGTCAAGGTGGCAAAAATCTCGAGAAAACCAAAAAAAAACAAAAAACAACAAGTTTCGACCCATGGAGAGGGTCTGAGGGGAAGCTGGACAGGTGACATGGGGTGAAACTTTTTTGTGTTTTTTCCATGGTTTTGGACCAGTTTTGTTCCCTCTTTCAGAGTTTGGATTGTTTGTATGAGAGTTTGTGATAGATCCAAGCTTCAGGAATGGAAGCAGATCAGCAGACAGGATGATTTTAAGCAGACAGTGCAAAACATGCGCGTTTCTACAATGTGCACGCCTTCACCCCCCATGATCCTCCCTTCTGTTTTTTTTTTTTGTGTGTGTCTTTTCCATACTATCTATATAGAATCGCATCTACAATAGTTTTCTTTTTTGCTATATTTAATATGTAGTGGGTGAGAATCCGCCATTTTATCTGTAATGCGATCATATATAGTGAATATATTACATACTTACTACATTAGTTGATAAACATTGATATAATACAGCTCAATAGGAAATGGATACACCTGGATCAGATTGGTGTAATTGTTTTTTTTTGCAATTTTCATTCTCAAACATAATAGACCTACTGTCAGTAGTTTGTCAATGGTCAGTCATCAAATGTGGGTCAAATCTTTGGGGGTACACCGACATAGAATAGAATCTATATGAACCAATGGAACTGCGAACCAGGGTGTGTTACAAGACATGCTTTTGCTTTTGGCTACGACAGGATAATTCCAAAACGACCTTTTCAGATGGTTCAGGCCAAATTCCTCACAGTATCTCTTTGGTTGGCAGTTCCCCAACCCTATTCGGGGAAATTCTCCCAACTAATCGAAAAAAATGGGACGGCTGATTTTGCAACCAAGCGGTTGCCATCAGTTGCCCTTCTTTTTCTGCAATTAGCTTCAATGGGTGGCATGATAAGATGAGGTCTACAGTCGCAACAGCGTTTCTGGCGAGAAGACTTTAGCCCTAAAAAAGATCCGTGTCCAGAACTGCCAAGCCTCACGGCCCGAAGACGTGGAAGAAATCTTGGCAAAGATTGATGACAAGGCAAAAGTTTGGGGATCTTGGAAGTTTCAACTTGTTCACTTTCTGGAATTCGAGATTTTACTGGAAGATTGAGACGAAATTTAGATTTCATTCACTTTTGCATGATCAACTGTACTATCTCAGGGTTATGTGGAGACTTGCGCAGGACAAGTTCAACAAAGAACTGCAGGGAGCTCTCTTCGATGACAGCGACAGTCTCTTCAAGAAACTCTTTGAAAGTCAACTGAACAGGACGGATCTTCATAGTGCTCTTTTAGATGCCCTGGCGTGAATGCTCCTCTCAACTGCTTCTGCTACGGTGGAAAGGGATCAAACGTGATGAGACCTTGGTTTCGGCGATGGTTTTCTTCGTGCGGCGAAGCGTTTCCACCGGGCTCTTGAACTGGATGCAGATGGTGCAGATGGTGATCTGGTTGAGCAGCGGCACCAGTCATCATAGCGAAACATTGCGGCGGCGTGCGGAATCTCTACTGGGTTTCTGAATCTGGGGGTGAAATACACTTCGAAACTGTTTGTTTTGTTGACCAATTATTCCACTGCGCAGAACTTGAACCTCGCACCTATCCATTGTCGGTGGATCTAAGGGTGCTGGTTAAGTAGCACGGCCTTAGTTTGTACAGTCTGTTCCTAGACATTCTTCTCTTGGAATGTGCCACCAGCTAAAATGTGGTTCCTTGTGCGATTCTCCAAAGGAGAGTGGCAGAGACGCGTCCTGCGCGTCCTGCGCATCACGCACCTGAAGAAACGCTTCCGATGGACGAGAGATGATCGATGTTTTGTCTGTTAGATGTTGGTAGTTCCACTGTAATCTATCTTATCTGCTACTATTGCAGTTACTACTGTAGACGACTATTAATTTCATATTGTGGGATGATGGTCCCTACTGACAAACATGTTTCTGGCGGGTTGCCGAAACTACCAACGAGTTCTTCGTCTACTTCTGCAAGGTCTGAAGTTCTGCAGTTTCTTACCTGTGTAATGGCCTTGCAAGAGAGGCTGCTATCATACCTTGATTGGAGCACTTGCTGCAGGTGACCATTTCTTACAGGGTGGAGGAGGAGGAAGAGGAAGAGGCACCATCCTCGCAGCAGCATGGAAAGAGAGAGGGTGCAGTTTGCTGTTTGGCCTAGGAGCTTTGGTCTTGACAGCAAAGTGACTTGTGCTAAAAGCAGCTGAACAACAATTTTATTCGAGCAGATTCATTCTACTCATCTTTCCCATTTGGTACTTCAACCATTGTCTTTTGGTGCAGGTACCACCTCCGCCCAAAATCGTAGAGGCCAGGCAGATTCGGGACTGCGCATGGAAGGCGTCAGACTTTTCTGTACCAGTGGTAAAATTGGGCATGGTAAGATGGGCGGCAAACAATTCAGCAACGCCAGTGTTTTTTCCTTCATACTGCACATACAGACATCTCATGTACCGCCCTAGTTCTGCGTACCCCAGCTTGTGGGTGTTTGAGGCTATTCTTGGACTCAGCATCAATTCTTGGGATGCTAATTCAAGGTGAAGAGCCTCCAGTCGCCATCAAAAGCAGCTGTCCGCGCAGCCCAAGCTGATGAAGTTGAAGAGGCCCGCAGTCGGACATGAGATGGATAGGTGGGGATAGGTGGGGTGGGTGGATGAGATATGATTGGATTAGCCGTGTTGCAAAAGGTTCTGTAGTGTACTGTAGCTGGCCGCAAGAAACTGATGTGCAATGCACGGAACCTGGGTCATTTTGCAGCGGTGTGTGGCATTCAATGCCTGAGCGCAGCAAGGTGCCAGTTGACACTGCAGCGGAAGTGGAGTCGATCGTTGGGGTCTTGAGGAATGTGTGTGGAATCTCCACAGGAATAATTTTCTGCCTCGAGCAGTGCCGGAACAGCTTTTACTTCTTCTGTATTGGTGGTTCAAGTTGGACTTAGTTTTTTTATGTTTTTTTTTAAAATGAATATGTGCAACTTAGAAAGCAACCCAGGATCCCCCTCGACTCAAGACCCGTGACATGCCTTGACCCAATGAATCAACCTAGCTTCTCCCGGTATGAGGCAGATCCTGAGTTGCCTGAGATAGAAGAGGAAGAAGAGGCAATCCTGTGATATCCTGTGGTCAGTCAAAGAAGGTTGGACTAACATCATCACCATGACACGTATCCTCACTTTTATCCTCTTCATCCTCTCTTCTCATCCCCATCCTGATCATCATGATCATCATGATCATCCTGATCATCCTTATCATCCTTATCACCCTTATCATCCTTATCATCCTTATCATCCTTATATGATACTTATATTTCCTTATCCTCGTTACCATCAGCAAGCATCAGCATCATAACCAGAATAACCAACGTCATTCGCATCGACAGGTGGTGCAAGTGCTCCAAGCTCGTGGCCTTCAGGCTTTGAACAGAAACGCGGACGTGCGGACGTGACATCCAGTATTCAACCCTTACCAGTCCATGTGATTATATTTATTCTTTTACAATACGGAATAGAACATAGAACAGTGGAATTTGATGGAATTTGTAATAATTATTTTGTAATTATTTCTTTGTTTTCTGCCAAGTACATCAGGTATTGTTGCCTCTGCTGCCATCCTTGCATGTTTCATCTCATTTCCCAGGGAGCATGATCAAAATCTAAGTATATATATTATATATGTATTGATTCACACTGCAACACATGTTTCTCTCGTCCTGGTTTCTCTCTTCAGTCTTTCAGACTTCGAAAGTGAAATCAAAGGGCTGAGGCAATGCCAGCGTGGACCTTGATGAAATGCGGGGCAATTGTCGACTTCTATATGGCTTCTATATGCTTTCTATATGGTTCACTATAGTTATTCACTATCATTCCATGTACATTTTGCCAATGAACCCGCAAGCTGCAGGGCCGACCACCGGCTGGAAAACCAGGCGGCAGACTGGGATGGGTATGGTTGGGGGTTGGGCCTTATCATTGCCATACTTGGCTTTTTTAAAACTGAAGTTTGGACAATTTGATTACACCAGACTGACAGGGGGATGTCACGGGGAGTTCCCTTGTCGATCCCCAACAAAATTTGAAAAGTTGCAGTTTCACAATTATGTATGGTCAACAATGGTGAATCATGGTCAGTCAATGGTCAATCAAGAGTGAACCCACAGGAAATCTTAGTCTCAGCAATTCTAGTATCCAGAAAGTTGTCTTCCATTATCCGATTGGTTATTGGTTATATATATATGGTATTATATGGTTTTATCATGATCCCCATTGTTTAAATTGGGTATGTAACTGAAATTATCCCTGTACTACTTGTGAAACATTATATGATGTTTTATATTTCCATGATATGTTAAACATACTTTCACATATTTTCAACATATCATTGTATGTCATGGAATATCATGGAATATCTCTACGACATATCCTTCCAACCCCCATAGACACGGAGCGAGCCAGGCACCGAGCTCCGCGTCCAACGCCGTGCTGCACGGCGCGCCAACTCGGCCAAGGGCCGAAGTGTGGGGCCACGAGGCGGGGATAGCCACATTGGCTGGATGGTTTCATGGAAAATCACCCCCAAAAGAAGAGATGATTTGGTAGCCCCATGACTTAGGAAACCCCCACACTGCTTGGAGTCTGGTGGATGATGGTGGATAAATGATTGGGTCTCTTGAGATGGAGTCTTTGATCGTGAACGGTATAACCAGTACTCCAATACCGGGCATGGTACTGCTGGTTCCGAGGTTCCAGGACGCTTTCATAAGATGCTCAGTCTAAGAATCTAAGACCATCCTATGATGCTTATGACATAGTGTTACATAGTGCTGGTGGATCGGAAAACATGTAGCTGGGCTGGAAATAGATGGCTTTCTTGATCCACCACTTTCATACACTCTGCAAAAAAAAAGAACAGAATTGATTGGATGTTTCTTTTGCAGGACAACCCTGCGTAGTGGTCAAAACCTAAATCAACCCATACTTTTCCCTTGGTGCCTTTGGTCAGCCAACAGACCCATGAACCGCTGGCAGGTCCATATCCGAGGCTGCCCAGTCCTGGCCTCGATGTGAATCCACCTGGCAGTGGGCCGTCGACAAAGCTTGGAGCATTTTCAGGTCCTGGCGCTGTTGGCTACCCTGGAAGTCGCTGAAGCTGGGGCGAGGGAATGAGCTTCGCCCAGGGCGGCCTCAGACAGATCAGCTCTCAGCATGTTTTCCTCCATTTTGGTTGCTGTACGAATAATATTTGTTGCAAACACACCGTTTCATCTTGGAAAGATGACCTTGTAGGACCTTGACCTTGTAGATATTTGTCATGGACTATCTGTTGTGAAGCAACCGCGCCACTCCCAGCCCCTCTGGAATTCCACTGTAGCCATGTCCTCTGCTGATTTGCCGAGTCACCAAGCCATGCGCCAATGCATGTGTAGAGCTGCCGCAACGCGGCAGAAATGCATGAGAAGCAGCCTGAAGCAGCCAGAATATGGTAGCTTCCTAGACGTCGATTGCGGCGAAGAAATTGCTCCGCATTCCCAGAACCATTGTCTATTACCAGTGCGACATTCACATTAAAAAGTCAGTACACAAAAGACAAGATAATGATAAAATATGATTTCATCTAGATTGAAGCCTTAAGCAGCTCCTTTTACTTTTGAAGCATGTGCCAGTCACGGAAAGGGTGTTCTGTTGAAGTGTCGCTGATTTTCCCACATTTTATTCAAAACACTTCCTGTGCCTGAACATCTCTTGTCGAATGACCAGCAGCACGCGCAGGAGGTTCTTCAGGTATCAATGAACAAAAGGATAAAGATGATAAGAGATCATGCATAAACAATACGGACGAATACGGACGAATAAAAGAGAGTACTTTTTATGCCCCTTGTATCCTTTTGTCCAGGCTGTTCAGGAAATGCCAGGGATTTCCGTTCAGATTTCCGTTCTCGTGGACCTCCTTTACCTTGGCAGGATGAGATCCGAATCGGTGGTCGAGATCGTGAGCTGCGACATGCCGAGAAGCTGCACGAAAAGGTTTGGACCACTGGGGGATGACGATGGGTTTCATGCAATATGTTTGATGGGGATGATTATGATGATGAACCCATGGATTCAGCGGTACGCTATTTTCAGATTCACCTATATTGTTATGGGTGTGGAGATCCACTTGGGCAGCGAGAAACAACATGACTACTTATTCTTTTGCTCATGCCCGCTTGTTTTGTGCATGAGCAATCCAAACCAAGCATGTCGCCGTAATATGGAGAGGAGTGTGATCGAGTCATAGTCTGACATTGCATGAAGAGTCTATTCCGTAAAGGCCTATCATTCATGGAAGACTCAGCGGCAGTAGACAGCTGACATATGCTGACATGAACCCCTCCTTACATCTCCCACTGCCATTGAAGCTGGCAGGAACGGCAGCTGCGGGATCCATTCAACCAGGACAATGCAGTACCTGAGGATGCAAACAGCAAGTTTTTACCTTTTCCCCGGCAACGGATGGAGGGAGTGGTGAGCTCTTGAATTCAGATTGTTTCTTGATTCGTGTGTGGGGCCTCTACTCTACACTGGTAACTTTCTATGGGTCAGGTGAGAACCCTTCAAAGCAGGCAGGAAAGACTACTTTCTGGATCAGTGAGGCGTCCAAAGCAACTGCGCCCTTTATGACAACCAAGGCGAGGGGCTGGTACCAACGCAGCACCACCAACACAGGCGCGATGACCAGCCATTGTTGATGACAGCAAAAGTTTTAAAACCTGGCCGAAGCTAATGTCCAGTCAATCCACTCGATGAAGTCTTAAGTATATTATAGTATATTTATATAAGTATTATATCATTATATATCATGATGATATCAAAGATCTGTGACGCGGGGAGCAGCGTTACCCATGTGCAAACGTCACTGACCTACGGCAGGAAAGACCATCATGACCTCTGGTGGAGGGCCTCGGATGCAGGTCGCAAGATGTCGCAAGATGTCGCAAGATGTCGCAAGGGTGAGACCTAGGACCTAGGTGGGTTGGTCACTTGGAGACTTTCAGGTAGGCCAGCAGCTGGCCAGCAGCTGGCCAGCATACCAAAGGATGTTTAGCATAGCTTAGCTGCCTTGAGATTAAAATTTGTGTTTTATAATCAATATAATGTGATCAATGATCAATATAATAATAACCTTAAGTGCAAGAGCAAGGCACGTTTTAGGCAACATCATATCAGGTGACAGCAGAGGCTCTATATTCCACGAACCCATTGTTCACTCCTTTCCAGGGTCAACGGTGCAGGATGTGCCGGTAGAAACATGCGGAACTCTGCGGCAGGTTGGCTACGGTCGCCGGGTGAATCCGAACGCCAACAACTTCCGTGGTGGGAAGACCTGGAATGACTTGGAGGGTGAGGGTCTTTAGAGAGTTCCAGTGCTTTGTGTAGGGTGAAAAGGATCTCCGAGGCACTTTTGGTCCAATGTCCTCACAATGTCTGTGGGGCATCAGGGAATTTGATTCAGCTTGGTTTTCCATTGTTGAAATGGGCATGTGGCCTTCATTGGAGATCGTCCTTAGCAACAAATACCAATGGGCCCGTGGGCCTTGCAACAAGCCCTTTTCTTACCTGCACATGTCACGGCGGACATTTTCGGAATGCAAGCATTTTTCATGCAACTCTTGTTCCATTGTTCACTAGACTCAAAGAAATGCCTGTTGAAAGCAAAAGATGTGAACGCTATGTGATTCCAGTACAGGTATTGATGACTTGCCCCATCCTGCATCTTGGCACCCTCGAAGTCAACCTCTCAGGTTTCAAGCCCAAGAAGAGGTGAACATCCTTTCACAGGAAGGCTGCTTGGTGTTTGCTCTGATGCGTTCGATATTCATGTTGTGTTGTATTTCAGATGTTTGTTTGTCTTGAGCAGATTTTTTGGAGTTGGCTCCAGCCGGCTTCCACTTGGCAGAAAAGATCCGTGATATGCCTTTCAAAATTTGCAAAGCTTCAATGCGAGCCGCTAGTGCTGCACTTGGCAGTAGCTGGGACTTGGGCTTGCTTTTGTGGGCTGATTGAGCCATTCGCTGATGGTGATGGCTCTTCACTCAATGTACAAATTTCGATGACAGCAGGTGCAGTTCTCATCTGAAAAGGTGAAACGGTCAGTCGAATGCCATGAAACAATTGTATGATACTTGTATAGTATATATATATATTATATATATATGTGGGCATCCTCTGAATCATGAAATATCATGAATACAGTTTGATTTTGGGAGGTTTCAAGAAGAGAAACTGCACCAGCTCTTAGCAGACCGACCCTGGAAACCCTCTCCATTGATGGCCCATCCTGGAGTGGTATGGGAGCGGCATTGTCGCCAGAAATGACAGGGGGCAACTTGATACTGGGAAACATTGGGAAACCAAATAGGTTTGACAGGTCTTGTGTTGGTATGTGTTGGTGACAGTAACGTGCAGACAGGCTTTGCAACTGATCTCAGAACTGACCTTGCAAGATCAACACAGGGGCAGTTCCAGCAAGCGTGAGGGAATCCTTAGGATTTGTCCTTTTGCTGCTAGGAACTGGCACAGTTGACTCACTTTCCTTTGTTCGATTGATCCTGGCTTACAGCGTTGAGCAACTCTGCAACCTGCGATCCTCTTCTCACGGCCGCAGGCTGGAGTGTGGCGTCGCTCTTGCTTCTCAGTTTGTCCGTGAAAAAGTCTAACATCATGGGTTGGAGGTTTTGCCAAAGCATGGAAGGATGGTTCCCTAATGTTCTCAATTTTGTTGTGGGCCTCGCGAGAAGGGACATTGCGACTGCGACTGCCGGAGGCCAACAATTGGTCTTGTGCCCATTGTGCCCCTGACTTCCTTCAACTTTCAAGGCTGCTGGGCTGCTTTTCAAAGCATTATATATATATATATATACGTATATATGTATATTAGATATAATGATTCCCGTTGCTGATTATTCTGCTTGGAATAGGGAGTGGCTGGTTTTCAGGCCTGAATATTGTAGAAGCGTGTGGATTCCGACAATTCTTGAACGCTTCTCACCTAGTTGCGCCCTTTTCCAGCTACAGCAGCCGCTCGGGTGAGTTGAATTCTTGCTGCCAATATATTGCAAGCCATTCTTCCCGGCTAACCTGCGATGCAATGCTGCAAGGAAAGGATTGACCATGGTTCCCGAGGCCGGGCTTGGGATGGAACAATTCCTTTCTGTCTCATGCTCCGAGCGCAGATTTTCTTCCATGAAGAGTGACAACATGTGACAACCCAGCTTCTTCATTTTCTTCCAGCAAGCCATTCACACTTGTTCCTTTCCTGTGAAGGCTTTGGCGGTCATGAGTTGGCGTGGCCCACCATGCAGGGTCAACACGCATGAGGCACGAAGTGTTTCGTTTGGGCCAGACATGTTTGGGCAATGAAACCAGCTTATCAACTCATCAGCCACACAATCTCACTAGTGACAGGTCTGGTAGAGCTTGTAGCATGCTGCTTCCAAAACAGCTTGGCAAAGACCCAGCCATGCTTTGATCATCTTTGATCCAGCAAAATGTTAAGCACTTCAGCTGTTCTGCTGGCTGCCAATTAGCAGGCAGCTGCGCAGGGGACCCACATTATCCACATTGCAATTATTTCTAGTGTTTTCCACGCCTTCCAGGCGCTATCTTTTGGAGCCCAAGACATGGAGCGAGCCCGCCTGATGAAGGCAAGGTGGATTATGACTTCAACTGAGTGGGGATTTCCAGCCAGATTTCCATGCAGAATGTGCAAGTTTTTACATGTTTTTACCCTATGTAGTCTATGTAGTGTTTATTTGGCGGGTTTATCCAGTCTGGCGATAGGGCCGGCTTCCTTGCTCAGTCGTGTGGACCAGAAGAGACTGCTGATGCATTCAGATCACTATCCGCAGATCACAGAATCTCTTTATTGACCTAGATTGGCTTGTTGTTGATGGGCCGGTAGCATGAGCAAAAAAATCTTTGATCAGCTTCGGGAGGGGTGTTTTGCAGAAGAGACGAGCGTGAATAAAGTATAATAAAGTACTACAGTCCTGAGATGTCCTGAGTCTCCTCATTCACGGCAGATGTCGCGGCAGAGCCTGGCAGCCTCGGTACTTCCTGCAGGTCATTCAGGGTGCTTGGATGAATATGGATTGCCCAAGTGAGAGGTCTGCACCTGAGACGCTGTTTATTTGAAAGGGGTGGGGCGCATTTGCCCACAGCCCGTTGGGCTATACGTCGATTCAGACTACTTAACCATCTCACACAACTTGAAAGCACTTGTCATGTGATTGGTTAGTTTGCAATTGTTTTGGCGTCAACAGTGAACGAATGATCAACAGATTGCAAGAGGAGGGGTATTGTTCAGCCTTTCTGATCTTGCCACCGCTTGTACTTCCAGTCATCACTTCCAGACTTCCAGTCATACGCTCAAATGATTGTTCCACAGGGCATCTCCCCAGTGGCTTTGCTGGTGTACAATGGCGCCCTCAGGTATCTCGTGGTTGGTCATCATGTGATTCGTGGATTGCTCAGGGGCACAGCGTGAACAGCCATCTGGAACATAGCGGATCAGCATGGATCAGCAGTATTTGTTGGCCATTGGCCATCCATACTGACTCTGGGTGATATATGATTGAAGCTGGCCAATCTGCAGCGGTGCATCAGCAATTTCCGAAGACACCAGGAAACGACCTTCAAGGATGTCGGCGCTTTTCCCTCCACTGGGATCCTGGAAGGACGCAGCTGTGGCCATCTGTGGCCCTTTGCCGCCTCATTTTCCAGATGCCCCTGCGACAGGAGACAGCTTCAATGGGGAACACAGAGCAGGCCATGAATCAGTGCTGCTAAAGATGATGGCTCCAGTTCCCTTTGAGAGTTGTAGTGGGTGTAGTGCGGAGGGCAGGATGTTTACTGCAGGTCTTTGTTTTTAAGACTTATTGCTTGAGATTGGATCCTGCAGGCTGTACCTTGCCTGCCTCGGAGAGGGAATGGTGGCTTGGGTACCTTTGAGGACAGCGACGACAGCGGCGATAATGAAGATTGTTTCCATGATAGGCGTGGAAGCGATGAAATGATACATGAAGACTGCACTCGCAGGCATTCGCGCATGGGTAGGTTTGCTAGACTTAGACACTCATTCTCCTCATGATGATGTGCACTTCTTTATTTGCTTACAAACCTACACACACAAACACAAGTACAAGCAAGATATAAGAAGCGCTCATGATCACCACCCAGAAGGAACACTTCGAGGGCTTGGAGATGGCAGCGGGCGGCTCCCATGGCAATGCAGGGCTGCTGAGAAGTCGAGAAAATGACACCAGGGAAAGCGGGTCGCAGCCCAGATTGGAATATTGGAATATTTTTTGTATGATTTTATCTTGGCATAGCAATCCATATTCTCTAAACTGGCTGGTCCGGTGAAGGGTTTGACCCCTGTGGAGTGTTGCGCCCAAACAAACTTATCAAAGGGGAAGGTATGAAGATGTTTGCTCTGCAAGAATCCAGTCACAATGAGAGGATACAATCGCTGGACATGGGTCGACACCGTGTGCTGGATATGATGAGCAACTAAAGCAATCCTTTCTAATGGCCTCTCTAACAGTTGCACCAAGGTCGCCTCGGGTTGTGTCAGCGTGGTCAGGCGCTGTGTCAAAGTGTAGGGGTGAACGACGTGCCGGTGTGCCAAACGAACCAAAAACTGACAGCATCCACTGGTCCCAACCAATACCAGGACCTTCAATGCGGTCTCATCACTTGGTGCAGGTTGGGATCTTGGTGGGTCTGGTGGGCATTCCAAGGGGTCAAGTCCTTCAGCAAGTTTTGTTGAACAAGGCTGACAGCTTCAGCGGCTACGGCCCTTGGCGAAGGTGGAGCGCCTTGGAAGTGTGAGGAACGAAATTTACAAAGATTGTGGTGTTTCGAAGTGACTCATGACTCTTGGGGCAGTCTTGGGGTGTCTGATTTCTGAATGTCCAAGTAAGCTGCAGACAGTTGTGACGCTGTTTTAGTTCTCAAACTGTTACCTATTACAGCAACGCCCTTGTGCAGGCCTTATTCTATGCGAAGATGGGACTGCGAAGGCCTTGGCTGTGAACGTTCAAATGCCTGACAGCAATTTGTGAAAACGCCATACGCATGAGTGAGGGACCGTGAATGTTGGACATCAACAGTGAAATCAACGAAGCAATGGTATGCCCACGTTTAATTCAGAACGATGGACGAAATATCGCTGAAGTCGCCAGGGCCTGGCTGGTTCGGCGGTTGGGTCGGTGGCCTCAGCTGGCTGATTGGAAATCTACAGCTGGTGCTAGTGTTTTTTAGGAACCCGAATTACACAGAGATCTGAAAAATACGATTTGAATCGATTTGATATGATTAAAAACGGGGACCGTTTTGGGGTCGACGAGCAGCAGGAGGAAGTGGGACCCTTGCAGTGGAAGTTTTGTCTCTGTGTCCACTCGCTTAGGGCTTCTCACCGCGACGAAACCGCAGTACATGGGCTCAGAAGATTGGGAAATGGCAGGGAAATGGTGGCAGACCTCTATCTTGGGTTATTAGTATTCAGGCCAAGAGTAACCCACATGCTGACTGTATAGATGTAACGTGGCAATACGGTCGACACCCCAGACAATCTTTCTTGGCATTAATATGTTTTTTCCCCCCTGCCAGCAGTATTAGCGGGCTGTGTATATCCTGTATATCCTATTATTACCATTTTATATTGACACACCCACACTCACATTTGCATTCTTGCGTCTTACAGTCTTACGATGGAGTTTCCCAGATCCTATTGACAGAGATGGATGCGTGGATTTCTCATCCTTTCCCGTTGCCCCTGAGGCTACAGTCGCAACTTCGGGCGAAATTCAGGTGCTAGATCAGAGAAAGGATGATTGTGCAATCCCACACTCCATCGACCTCATTCTCCTACATATTGAGTATGTGGGATTTGACTTTCATGTTCATGTTGTTGTTTGTTGTTGTTTGTTGTTGTTGTTGTTGGTTGTTGGTTGTTGGTTGTTGGTTGTTTGTTGTTTGTTGTTTGTTTGTTGTTTGTTGTTTGTTGTTTGTTGTTTGTTGTTTGTTGTTTGTTGTTTGTTGTTTGTTGTTTGTTGTTGTTGTTGTTGTTGGTTGTTGGTTGTTGGTTGTTGGTTGTTGGTTGTTGTTTGTTGGTTGTTGGTTGTTGGTTGTTGTTTGTTGTTTGTTGTTTGTTGTTTGTTGTTTGTTGTTTGTTGTTTTTGTTGTTGTTGTTGTTGTTGTTGTTGTTGTGGTTGTTGTTGGCATTCTTGGTTGCTGAAAGGCATTGGTTGCGCCAGAACTGAACAGAGAATAGATGCTCATCAACTTACACTAGCTGGGCAGATGGCTGGCGCATGCCTTACCTGCGGAGGTTTTCAAGATCACGGCTCCCGACTGGCATGCGGACTCTCCAGTGCAGAGGCTGAAAATTGGCAGTGCATGGGGCGTGGGATGTGCCACTGAGACTTGTAGCCTGGAAGATGATACTGTAGTTACCGTAGTTGGACTTGGGGACAGGATTGCCATGGGTTTCCCTTATTTCTTTTGCCTGGCTTAGATCGTGGCTTTGCGAGGTGTCTGATTTGCTCTTCCGAGATATCACGCCGGAAGACTATGAGATCCTTCTTCGGTTGGACGACACTGTGTCCAGGCCAAGCGAAGAAACTGGCTAAATGTGGGTGGGTTTGGGGCTGCATAGTGGCCGGGGGTTCAAGTGGTGGGTTTGGCCGTGGGTCAATGAGATCAGACATACGTCTTACGCATATTTCCCTCTTTCAGTCTATTGGTCAATGAGATCAGACATGTGTCCCATTTATATAATCACAATCTTTCATTCCACTTCTTGAACAGAACATAATGTTCTAGATTCTTTTCTGGAAGACAGCAGCACTTCTCTGTACTTGATACCTTGGAGGCCAACCGCCAGTGCCTCCAGCATTGACAGTTTGGAGAAGGCTTGCGGCCCGTCTCATTATCGGCAGCGGCATGTATTGCTTGGAACTCCCATCCTGGCTCTATTCTGGGGGCTGAACGCCTGCTCTACTCCAACCTGAAGACCTGAGTTCTATCTCATGCCTGGGGTTCTGGGCGCCAACATGAGCTACGGATGTGCAGGAGAGATAGAGGCATCACAGCATTTCCAAATCCAACATGAATCCATGACGAAGTTCTGAAGGTAGATTCACCACAGATTGACCCTGTCAAAGTATTCAACTTGGTGTAGCTGGAGGTCACTGCTGAGCTGAGTGAATGGTGATGCCATCTGCGCCAGGCCTCAGGAAAGGACCTGCTCGGGGAGGTGCGATGAGCTTGCCGAGATTTTGTCAGAATTGTCGTGCTTCAACCATGATTTGGTCATATTTGGTCCATTTTCCCCAAGTTCGATGGTGTTTTTTCAGCAACGTGTTCCTATGGATCCTATGGATGTTGTGTCTGTAGTCCTTGTGATTTTGCTCCGCTACGCCAGAGCTGCTCGGTCTGCCTGATGCTTTTTGAAGAGTCCGACGTGGCGGCGGTCTTGCCTTGCCGGTCTTGCCCGGCCAGTCTTGGGGGTTGGTTTGGGTTTCCGGGATAGCATTGTCTAACAGTTCAAGGTGCTTGTTTGGTGAATCCATTTGAAGTAGCTGTAGCTTCTGGGGGTTCCCCCCAGAAAACGGACGATGCTGAGTGCTGTTGCTGCACAAAGGCACGCACGGTCACACACCGAGGTGTACTTAGCCAAGTTGATACAGCCTATACTTGCTTTTTCTCGGTGTGCGGCAAGGTGCGGGTATTTTTGTTCATCAACAGCCAGGGATTCAATTGCTGTTTGCTTTGACTCCATGTGATTGTTCAGGTTGATCATTGATTGGAGACTATTCGGATTCAGTTACATTTTTTGCACATCCAAGTTCGGTGGTTCCCATGGATTTCCAGCGGGTTCTCGCTCTCATAGGACCAGCAGATGTTGCGTTGAGAATGGCTAGCAACCAACTGTCCTGGCAGAATCACGGGCAGATTGAGAATTCATGGGAAAAAGTCAAGACCCAATCCAACTGCTTCTAAAAGCATATTATTGAAATTGCCATGTACGTCGCTTGAAGCAGTCTGTTTCTCACGGCGGAAAGGTATATTTTGTTGGATGATGTTCCCTACAAGAGACTTTACCTAGGATAGGTTTCAATCTTTAATATTTTGGCATTTCTTTCGTGGGGAATGTTATGTTTCGAATTTGTGTGAGACAACAATGTAGCAATGGTGTATTGAGGGGACCTATTATATAGAAGACAATTTTTTCCGCACCTTGTGTGGCGAAAGAATGCCTTTGAGAAACACTACTGGGGCATTGCGAAGTGGAAAAGAAAACCCAGGCAAAGGGATGAATGGCATATCGTTTGGGACCCTTTTATCCACGCTTGGAGGGACATTCTTCTAACATCTACTAACATCTATTAGTTAACCACATTTGTTGAGGGGAGAGCGAAAGGTTGTCCACTTCCTTTGTATTCCACTTTGCGGCCAGTTTCCATTTGTAATGCTGCCCATTTCAGATGTGTGCTGGGCGTGTTGAACCTTGCCCCCGCAGATATGCAGGAATTTGCTACGTATTGCTACGTATTTCATCATACTTCCATATCTATCCATATCCATTAATTGGTTGGGGAAGATTGGGGAAGAAAGTTTCTGTTACACTGCAGAAGAGATATTCTAATTTTGGATTTTCGTTCCGGGGCTACAGATGTTGGGATGTTGGGATTTTTCGGGAGCCCAAATCCACAGAACACAGTTTGTTCGCCGGGTAGGAGATGGTAGGATTCCGCTAAAACCCACAACAGCCAGACATGAAACTTCTAGAGATCATTTGGTGCCATGAAACTTAGAAATCATCGCAATAATTCGCAATATGGGGCTTTTTGGCCACCGCGGGGCTCTGAATTCGTCCTGCAAATCAGCTGAAGCGGTCCATTGGGGGGTTTTTGGTGCCATGCCTTGGGCAAAAAGAAGGGTTGCGCTGTTTGTGCAGAAAGGAATTTCAATGAACTGCTGCCATGACTTCAATGATCTTCATTGATCTTCAATGATCTTCAATGTTTAATTTTGCCTTGCTTTCCTGTAGTAGCGCAGCAAACTTGGTTCATCTTGGTTCCGAAATCACCTGGATTCAAGTTCCCATGGTGTGTAGATGTGAGCAACACTGGATGTTTTGCACCCTGGACCAGCTGTGGCGAGTGAAATTGGTATGAGCCTCAATTTTTATGTGTAACTTGCAAGCTCTGTCCTGGCACTGTATGCTATTCTAGTGATGTTTTTGACAGAGCAACTTGAATTTGCTGCTTTGATGGGGTGATTGTATGTGATTGTGAGATCACAGGGGTTCGGATACTTACCTTGGATATCCTTGGATACTTACCTTCTTGGACAGTCCTGGGAGGCCGAGTTGAGGTACATCCCCTTAGTCCCATGTCCCAGCTCCCTCTGTGGCCTTGTGCCGCGTGCCAGGCACAGCTTTCATTCAATTTGCATCAGCAAGTGGCTGGCGGAGTGTCGTTCAAGCTGCCCGCTGTGTGGGGAAACCCTCCAAACCATGGACAAGGAGCAGAAGGACCCAGTAAATCTGGCAAAGAGCCTCACTAATCAAACGGATCAAATGGATCCAGCGGAAGGGGAGGCCGATGAGGCCGATGAGGCCGGAAGCTCATCATCTTCGGCTCACCTTTGACGATGTCAGCCGCTTCGGCAGGACAGACCGTGGGAGGCGGTGTGTGATAGATGCCAAGCATTGTATACATACTACAAGGCTAATCAATTGGAACACGGGCTTTTCAATCGTTCACAAAGTTGCTTTGCAAGGACATGTTTATGGATGTTTATGCTGCACCTTGGTGCTAGTCAGCCATATTCATATTGCCTTACATACAGTACTTTCCATCGATTATTTGCCAAGCCACCAGACTCCTAATGTGGTAAAACCTGCTCGCGCTTTGCGAGTCGCAGGCCTGAGGGTACCCCGGAAAGCTTCGAAGAATTCTGAGATAACCTTCGATGGCCTCAACGAAGTCGAAAGATGATTGAAGACTGACATCCAGATATCTACCCTCAGATGCCTCAGTTTGGCCAAAAGACAATAGATGAGGTGCATAGCAGATGAGGCACCGTGAATTGAGGCGTGCAAGTTTGGTTGCTGTTCTCAAATTTCAAATGCATTGAAGAATTCTAAGATATTTTAGGACTGTTAGGACCATCATGGACCATCCCAGGTATATGATACGATGGTCCTAACAGTGGTTCATGTTGCTGGTTTTTTGCATCAGCTATCAGCTGAGACAGCTGAGATTTGGCCCTGTCCAGGTCTTCCAGGTCTGCAGAGGAGAAGTATTTAAAGCCCTACCATAGTCAGATGCCGGTTCTGTCACCATCCTGGGGCCCTGGGGCCGGGCGGACTCCAATGGACTCAGATTCGAAAGATCAACAGCGTCCGCATCTTAGCTACCTTTTTTGAGGCTACCAAAACTGGCCCTTTTTGTAAGATAATTTCTATGGCCACCAATTTTCTGGTGAACCAGTGCCCTGTTTCGAGGACATGAAGCCCTGAGCCCTAACTGCAGCATGACTGCCCCGGTTGTGAAAAGAGGGCGGGTAGCCTCGAAGCAACTTTCTGGATCAGGCCCTACCCGTTGTAAATTGGACAACGAGGGGAATCTTGGAATCATGGATTGTCAAACTATTTTGAGGATTGCAATCCCTTCCCCTCGAATCCAAGAGCCCCGGTCTGTATTCTTTCAAGTGTTGACATTCCTTCACTGTGGCGTTTGCAGGAGAGCGGCCCGGCAACTGCAACTTGTAGACAGGCCGAAGCTTGGGGGGTTGATGATCGATGATGCGGAAGATCGCTATTGGGGGGGAGAAGAAATCCAAGGGGCTGGGAAAGGTCTTGCATATTTTTGCTATTTTTTGTCATCTGCTTCAGTGTGGATTTGAGATGGCAGCAAACACATCGAAGCTTCAGCGCTTTGCAGCGCAGGAGTCTATTTCATGTTTGAGTCGACTCCAATATCTTGGCAACCCGGCAAGCAAGGTCTTGGTGCCATATGAATTTTACTTGGCATTCCCAAATAGCCCCCGGACCCCCCCAATGCAGATAGGTCGGATAGGTTGCCAGAATCCAGTTCGGTACATCCAAATCAGTTCTATTTTTCCGAACAGTTTCCATCTAAAATCCCCCTGCTTTGAACCTTTGCTGAGGCTTCTTTGGGGCTTTGTGCTGAGGACACAGCTTACGTAATGGCATTCTTGATGAAACTACTTCCGGTAAAATTACTTTACTTCGTGTGATCCCCACCATGACATTTATACAATGACATTTATACATTTTCTTACTGGCAAATCTTCTGGCATTCTATCTGACATATCTTCTGACATTCTATTTGGCATTCTATCTGGCATATCTTCTGGCATATGATCTGGCATATCTTCTGGCATATCTTCTGGCATTCTATCTGGCAAATCTTCTGGTCATTCTATCTGGCATATCTTCTGGCATTCTATCTGACATATCTTCTGGCATTCTATCTGGCATTCTATCTGGCATTCTATCTGGCATATCTTCTGGCATATATTCTGACATATCTTCTGGCATTCTATCTGACATATCTTCTGGCATATATTCTGACATATCTTCTGGCATATCTTCTGGCATATCTTCTGGCATATCTATCTGGCATATTTTCTGGCCTTCTATCCGGCAAATCTTCTGGCATTCTATCTGGCTATCTGGCATATCTTCTGGTATATTATCTGGCATTCTATCTGGCATTGTATCTGGCATATCTTCTGGTATATTATCTGGCATTCTATCTGGCATTCTATCTGGCATTCTATTTGGCATTCTATCTGGCATATCTTCTGGTATATCTTCTGACATTCTTTCTGACATTCTTTCTAACTTTCTTCTGCACATTCTTTGTCCCATATCTTCCTACATGAGGTCCGGCAGGGAACACTTGGCGTGGATACTCGCGGTTGAGGTCCGGCAGGGAACACTGGGCGTGGATGGTCGTGGTTGAGGCCCGGCAGGGAACACTTGGCATGGATCCTCGCGGTTGAGGTCCGGCAGGGAACACTGGGCGTGGATGGTCGTGGTTCAGGTCCGGCAGGGAACACTGGGCGTGGATGGTCGTGGTTGAGGTCCGGCAGCGAACACTGTGGATCGCGGGTCGCAGTTGAGCAGGAGGACGAGGAGGACAACGAGACGAGGAGGACAACGAGAGGAGGAGGACAACGAGAGGAGGAGGACGACGAGAGGAGGAGGAGAGGAGGAGGAGGAGCAGGCAACTTAGATAAAATCTAACAACCCTCACCTGGCAGGCGGGGAAAAACACTAGTTTCCTCTTGTTTGCACACAAAATTCTCTGTGTGTCGCCAGGGTGATGTTTGCCACAAGAAAAACTATAGTGTACTTTGTGTATCAATTATATTTAATATATTATTATACACACATACATACTATACATTAATATACATATATATATACATGATTACATGTACATGTACTATATATTTCACACATATATATAATTATATATATAATGTGTATATTGTCTATTTAT